CACTGGGGTTCCTAGTTGAGCAATTAGAAAGCAGTTGTGTTTAAAAGCTCTGCTCCAACTTAAACCTCTGGTCACTTAAAAAGGTAAAGAATATTGGGGAATATAAAAATAAAATAAATTTAAAAAAAAGTAAAGAATATTTACTTGGCGCCTCTTTTTTTCTTTTTTTAATCTGTCTTTCTTCCACTTTAAAAAAAAAAAAAAACCCACACATCAGAATTTGTAGCTGGCATTTTATTGAGGAAGATAACAGGTATAATAGGTTTGGAACCATAGATACTTTAAAAAAATTCAAGTTCTGAGACTTTGTCCTTAGTTATCAAGTTTGGGCCAGTGCTATTCCACCATCAGCAGACCAGCCTTTTGAGTTTATGATGCTCCACCTGTGGACAACCTAGCCTGCAGGGGCTTGTGGATGATGTTGGGTGACCAGGCATACCAGTTTCAGCATGGAAGACTCTGTGTTCCCAGAAAACAGGGTCCTAGACAAACAGAAAGCATGGGGGTGGGGAGTGAGTATAGCTCTGAGGGATGAGAGGTAGTGGACCTGGTGGAAAGTGCACTGGAGTGTTCTACTCCTGGATTCGAATCCTGGCTCTACCTTATCATGTTTGTCCCCTTAGGCAGATCACTTCACTTTCATGGCCCTGTGGAGAGCTCTGTGAAAGTGGTGTCTTCTGTTAGAGCCATGTGCTTGGCTTCTATCTAGCCATGTATGAAGCCCTTCATGGTTATTGAACAGAAGTTGAGAAAGTGAGGTCTGTGTGCTAGGAAGGAGCTGGGTGTTGGAGATGCAACCTAAAGTCTCCTGCTTCTGGCCCTCCCTCAGCTCAGAGGCCAGAGCAGGGTCACCACAGCCCTAGTGGGGGCTTTTCAGTAGCAGCCCTCCAGGACTCTGCCTGGAGAATGTGCATTCATTGCTCTTGTAATTTGAGAGCAGCTCCTCTTCCTAGGAGTTAGAAGACCAAGCTCCCTGAGGATAACCTTCCAGACTAAAAAAATCAGATCTTTCTTGACCCTTCAGATACGGAAAGCCACTAGTCCTACTCTCTTTAAGTATCATTTTCCCCATTTGGAGTCCTAACTCTGCCTCATATTGAGCAAGTGACAACTTCTTTGGGAACTTTATCTGTAAAATAGGAATAGTAATGATTCCCACCTTGTGTGTTATTAGGAGATTCAGTGAGATCATCCCTACTGAGCATTTATCAGAGTGTCATATCACGTAGAAAACAATAAATAGAAGGAATGAAATGACTCCATTTTCTGTGTGTCTCCTAGGGTGTTGAGGTGAACTCCTTTCTCCCTCACAGGTGAGAAAGGAGCCATATCTCATTATATTTGTCTCTGGGTCTACACCCAGCCCCTGCTGACAAATAGTAGGTGCTTAATAGTATTGGTTTATGACCTGATAATGATGATGTGACCCATCTTCCAGGATTAATAAGGGTAATATAAGGAAATGTGTTTGAAAATACATTGTAAACTGAAAAGCATAGTAGTTGGTATGTTCCTCCACTAAGATCTTTATCATAGTGCATTGTTCATTATTTGTTCAATTATCTTTTCTGCCCACTTCTCCAAAGCAGAGACTACATCTTATCTCTGAATCCCACTCTGGCACCTAATGATGTCCTATACTAGAAAGAGTCTCAGATAATTTAATTGAATGTAAATAGCAGACCAAAGTAAGAAATTGTAAAACTGTTAGTGGGGGTGAAGAAGAGGACTGGTACATACAAACTGATTCTTCTCTCTTCCTGGTGATACCTTTATACAAGCCAACCCTCAACTATCCCTAAGAACTGTTCCTAAGAAAACATCTTCCCAGGGGAGTGATAAAATTAAGGGAAGGGAAAAGAGGGGGCATGGATAACAATTCCCTTCCTGAGCAACTGGCCCTAGACACATCTTTATAAGCTCTTGCATTGATATTACTGTGATCAACCCACAGCTTTGGGGTTACCGCTGTGATAATTATCAGCCAAAAACTGTTGAAGTGTTTGGCATAGCCCAAGTGCCCAGGCTGAAGAGTGATTCCAACTTAGTACAGATTGGGCCTGCCCTTCCATAAATGTACCTTTGGTGGTCTGTATTTTGAAGTTCTGGCCACAGCTGGGCTAAATGGAAAGGCACGAAGTCCCTAAGTGAGATTCTCTCTGCTCTGGTTCCCCAGAGGGTCTTCTATCAGCAGCTCCTCTTCTGCATCCTCAGTGGCTCATGTGAATATGCCAGCGTCAAGCTCATTGTCGACAACAGCTGCTGATGGTGTGGAGGAAGGGTTCCTGCAAAGTCGTATTCTGAGACTGTTCCTTGAAAGTCCCTTTTCGTGGTCTTGGGGAGGAGGCCTGGCTGATGGGCCAGCAGTCTTGGAGAGGTATGTTTATGATAGGCCAGTCTGCTGTGTGCTGGGCTTTGGGCCCCTGGCCATTTCAGGAATTTATACCTCTTTCTGCATGGAGCTGAAGCTGGCTTGTGCCCACTGGCTGGGAAGGTGACACTGAGTGTGAGTTCTTAGGTTGACTTCATAGTTCTAAGTTGAGGAAGCCAGCAGCAGCGGGAAAGTTTGAATACTGAATTTCAGTGGGGAAACCTAAGACTAAGTTTTCAGAGAACCTACAGGGGTTGCTGACTCTGTGCTGGTCAGAGTGGGAGCTGAAGCGCTTAGTATTGTATAATAAATACTAATGAAATTCTAGATCTATAATAACATTTCAGATATCTAAAACAAACCATGTGCTTGTAAAAAAGTGGAAAGAGATCAACTTTAAGTCATAAATTCTTGGTAATAGAGGGTTTTTTTCTATTTACATTTGATAGATATTTTTGTTTCCAGAGGAATGTCAACTCCTAATTTCATAATGTATCATGGGCTTAAGAAAATTGAATTTAATAAAAGCCAGAGATGAATGGCATCCTTAAAGGTCCCAACACTTGTCTTTATTAGCAGGACAAACTGCAGGTCTCCAAACACTGCTTCTCCCCAAATGAAAGTTTAAATGAAAAGTACAGTTGTGTCACAGGTTAAATTTCATTGTGGGCCCAGCTAACATTGTTAGTGAGGAGCTAGCTGTATTTGTTTCCTTAGACACCACGGCAGCCTAACTCACCGGCTGTGGAGCTCTTTCTGTTGGGGAAGTGTTTCTTCTACTTAGTGGGAGAGGAAGGATAGAGCGGCAGATTTGCTCCACCTCAGGGTTAGCTCTTGGGAATCTTGGGTGTTTGATTTTCAGGGAGATCAATGTATACTTTGTGTGTGAGTGCCTCAGCTTTATTTTTTCGGAGCAAAATTCTCCTTTGGCTGGCCTTGTTGGTAGTGCCTTGCGGGGAATGAGAGACCCAGGGAACTGAGGGGTAAATACCCACCTCCCTTTGCCTGAAAGGAGAGGTATCACCTAGTCTAAGGAGCCCCCTCCACCTCAGCCTTGCAGCTTTTCTGCCCTTCTCTCAGGGTTCTGTCAGCTTCACAGTCTTTGGGGATCAACCCAGAACCTTTGAATTTCTCTGGCATGAAATCTGACTGCCTTCATTTGCTCTTGAGGCCTCTGTGATGTGTTGGATTGAAATAGATGCCCTAAAACCAAGCGCAATAGTAGCAGGTATGTTTTTTGGGGGAAAGGACACCTGGCTGCCCTGGGAAATCAAGGACATTGGCTCTTTCTCCTTTTGTCTTCCTGCTGTCTTCCCAGTCCAGATGGGGGTCAACAGCTTTTGTGTTGCTGCTCCAGGCTACCCCTGGAGAAACCAGTTTGCCTTGATTTTAATGGTACTGGAAACATCCTCTCTGGAACGGGGCCTGGGGTAGGAATGCCACTGGAGCTAACTGTTGGGGCCACTGAGTGGGCAAAGCCCCCCTTCTCTCTCTGCAGTGGAGGCCTTTTCCACATGCTAATTTTACTCGGAGGATTTTGCTTTTATTTATTTTTTTTATTATTTCCTATTTGTCTCTTCCAGATGTTTTCAGGGCAGTTTTTTTGTGTTGTAAACTAATTCCATTCATGTTTTAAAAATTTATGAAAGCGCTAATAAAAATGTCAAAGTGGTAAAAATGTTAGCTTTTCCTCTGCTTTGATTAAATTTTGCAAACTGTTTTTGAATATTAAAAAGCAATAATTTTTTTTATTCTCTCTCCTCGCTTTCCCTCTTCTCTCTGGTGCGCGTGTGCTCTCTCCTGCCCTCTCCCCCCTCTGGTGCGTTCCTCCCTTCCCAGGAGCGATGTATGAGGCGTGCTGCACAGCCAGCGTTCTGCAAGCCTGTTTGCACACCAGGACCTTGGTGCTGTGCATCTCTATTAAATAACGGAGACAAATTAATCTTAGAGACACCAAACAAATTGTCACTCCTCCTCCTTCTCTTCCATTACGTTCCAGTGGACTGGGAAGGGCTGGCTAAGCGGTGGGGGGGGGGGGGGGAGGCTGGCTGGGGGAGGACGTGCTGCCTGAAAGGAAGGTGGGAGGCTCTAGCTCCTATTACTCTTACTCAGTTTTCTCTCTCTCTTTAGTATCTCCTTTGGCTTTGTTTATTATTTATCTTTTTTTTTTTTTTTTTTTTTTTTTTGCTGAAATGAAGAAACTCATTGGTTCCATTTAAACTTCATTTGCTGAAATCTGCTTTGGTCTTAGGGCTGGAGACACAGACCTATTCCAGGGCAGGAACTTGGGCACGGGGAAGGGAGAGAGGTACTTTAGGGACTTGAGTGAGTAGGCTTCTGCTGGAGAACTGGTTGGGAAAACTGGGAGAGATTGTGTTGCTGCCTTCCTTCCCTTCTCCAGAGACAATGGGGATGGAGCGTGTGTCCAGTCCCTGGAAGCTTTGAGGATATATTTAACAATGGGAGGGGTAGGATAGTGGCTAAACTGGCAGCATCTCACTCAGTCTTGGGTTTGTCCTGGCAGGAGCTAATGAGTCCAAAACAATCCCTCATTCTTGACTCTGAGTTACTCTCTAAAATGTCTGGTTAAAAAACATGTTCTGTCTTTTCTCTATCTTTGCCACTCTAGGAAATTATTGAGTTCCCCATCCTGAAGCTAAATGGCCAGACCATGGAAATTGAGTCTACCTTTCACATGTACGTCCAGCCTGTAGTCCATCCACAGCTTACTCCCTTCTGTACAGAGGTAAGGGTCCTGGACCTGGGCAGCAAGGGCTGCTGGGACTGGAGCTTTTGGATCATTGGTGCTTCATCCATGCCACTTAGGGAAGGCTTAGGTCTTATTTTTGGACTCAGCTTTTTACGAAGTTTGACATTCTGCTTGGGCCACTATGGCCCTCGGGGGGCTGCAGAGATCAGTGGCACAATGTGTTCCAGGTTTCCTCAACATTTTACCTCCCTTATAATCTCTGCCCTTCCAAGTGACTAGGCATTTGGGGACACTTGTGGGGTTAATTTCTTTCCAGTTCCATTTCTCTTAGGGCTTCCTTCACAAGAGGTAAAATCTCAGGGATAGGGAAAGGGAGGTTATGGCTTAGCTTAGGTTATGGTTATGGCTTAGCTTTCTGGCAATGTTTCTCTGTTTTTTGAGCAATGTGGCCCTTCATGAAGCATCAGTTGAGCTGTGGGAAGCTTACTCCATCACCAAGGAAAGACAAGGGCAGTGCAAAGTGCAGGATGAGGATAGCCTGGCCAATGCTGAAACGGCCTCCTCTGTATCTTAGGCTGCTGCTGTACTTGGTTACCTTGGCATCAGTTTGGTGTTGGCCCCATTTTGCAGGCTGTAAAACTGGGATCTGCTGATATTTTAATGTTTGCTAAAGGCTCTCAAGATCCATTGACAAAGAGGAGGAGCCCCTCGGCGTTCTGACTCTCAGGATTCCATGGAGTTGCCTTCTGTGGCCTCTTTCCCCATGGTGTGTCATGTCGTGCTCTCCTCCATGGAAACATGGGTCAAACATGTGTGGCAGCAGAAGTGATGGGAAAGCATGAGTATTTCTGGACTCTTAAGAATTTGGGGCTTAAGATTCTTTGTGCCATCATTTAAAGATGTACTTTGTACATGTGAGTGAAATAAGAAAGAAGTTCTTGAGTAATCCATAAACAATATCCTTGCCGTGGAGGAGGCTGGGGATAGGCCTACCTGCCACTGCCTGGAGAGCTCAATAGCTCCGAGGCTGATTTAGGCCAGATGTGAAGTCTCAAGCACTGCTCCGGGGTTTGCTGCCTGACCCAGGTGGCCTTTTATTACAGGCAGTCATCTATAAGTCGTCTAGTCTCTTCTGGTGCTTGTTCCAATGAATGATTTTGAAGTTCTTGCTCCCTCTAGGGTCCACTGTCCCGACAGCGTGTCCTTCCCACCCACCCCCTCCCCAGCCCATACCCCTCTCCTGTGAATTACCTATACCACCAGGGGGCGCTAATCTGCCCCTTTTGCACTTTTTGAAAAATCACCATTTTTAATGATAAAAAACCCCTTCCTTATGGGAAGGGAAGGAAGACTTTCTTTAAACCAGCCAGTTACCTGAGCCGTGCACTGGCCTGGAAGTGTAATATCCTCTTTTTTCCTCTCCTCTTTGGGGGAGTCCCAGTTTTAGCAATGTTGCCTGGTGTAGACAGGCAGGCCCAAGTTTTGGAAGGTCACAGCCTGTGTTGGTACAGAACTGAGCACTGTTGGAACTTGGCCCTGGGCAGGAGTAGATGCTTGAGAGTCTTGGGAAAACAGATGATTTTCAGAGCAGGGCTACTATTTTTTTTGGGGGGGGGGTGAGGTGGGGGGGGTGGAGGAGGAGTTGGGATTGTTAGACTGATGAAAGTTATATTTCATTTTTCTAGAAAGTTTTACCTGAGGACATACATACATAATTTGGGGGCTTGTAGACATGGTGGTGTTGCATTCTTGTTTTGAAGCCTGTTCTGTGGGCAGAGTCTACTGTTTTATCTCAGGCTTCCAGAGCTCAAAATTCTCCCTGACCTGGACCCCTCCTTTCTGTCCAGCCTCTTGTCTCCCTGCTTCATCCCCACCTTGCTTCCCTTTCCTGGAGGCTGCCCTCTTCCAATCCACCTCTGCATACAAGGGGCCTTCGGTCTGTACACTGATTCTACTCTCCTCCCTCAGACCCCTGCCTGTCCTGTAGGACTCTGCGTAGCGTCACCTTCTCTGGGAAGCCTGTCCTGAGCCCCTGGATGGGTTGTGCCCAACCTCACGTAGCACTGATCAAAAACATTGTATTGTAATTATATCTTTATTTCCCCACTAGATTGTGAGTTCCCTGTGGGAAGAAACTAGCTCTAATCCAACTCTGTCCATCATTAGGGCCTGGTACTAAGCAAACCCTTAATATGCTCTCCTTATGTGGATGAATATTCTCAAAGAGTTATTCAGCCACACCTTGCCTCCCCCACCCTAACTCAACTACAGACTTACTCTTAAGTTAGTGAAGTCTTTTTTGGAAAACCTCAGATCATTAAATGTTGCCTATTTCCATAGCAGCTGGAATTGTAGACAGACACATGGACACAGAATGTAGGACATTGTTCTGAGGCCTCATCCAACCTTGCAATAGCTGTCTGTAGGGGTAAAGGGTGGGAGTCACCCAACCAGAGAAATCGTTCATTAGTAAATGTGAGGAACAACCCCAAACCTCCAGATTGCACCTAAGCAACTCCTCTGGTAGAACTTTTTCTCTTGCACAAAATAGTTCCTAAGAACCCTGGGCTCTGTGTGCAGCTGTCACACATGTAAGCACATGTTTATGTGGGGAGATAGACAGGCTCAGTGCTGGGCAGTAGAAAGAAGAATCTGCCTTGAGTGAGTCTGTAGCCCACACACTGACACTTATTTTTACTGCTCTGTATAATGAACATGTTATTTGCCTTCTTGAGTCCTTTCTTGGTTCCAGTTGATAGTCTGCCTCGATATATGGTTCTGACAGGGACCAGATGGGGTGTGTTTCATTCCCTCCCAGGCCCTTTCCCTGCCACCTTTAGACTCTCCTCCAACTCATCAGATCTCTGTCCTTAACAGCTGGGCTGCTGCACAGTCCCTGACCATGTGCAGTCTTTTTTTTAATTGTTGTTGTCATTGAAAAAAAAAAACAAACAAACCTAGAAAAATACCCATTTTGCTAAATGCCAGTAAAGGGCTTTGTCTTGCACCTGTACTTATAAAGGGTGAGATTTATTGGTCTCTTTGTCTGAGGAGAAAGAGTGGGTCTGATTATCAGATTGCACACCAGAGACAAGTGCTTATGTAATCAACAAACTGTCTTGGTGTCAGAATACGATTGTGTTGGAGATAAACTGTGAAAGGAGAAAGCGCTGGATGCTGACGTGCTATTGGCACTGACTGTCCTGGGCTGCTTCCTGTAGTCGCTCGTGTTTATGATGAAGCCAGTTCGTTCCCGGACAAAGCCCTTGTGTGGGTAGGAAATCTCAGTAGCCAGCCACGTTATCAGTCAGGGTCAAAAGCCTCTCGCCTTGTGGTTTCCGAGTCTGGAGAAGCGGGAGTTAATCTGTAATCCCTCAGTGAAAGGAGCCACAGAGCACACATTAATTCTTCCTCTCACCTCTCCTGCTTTAAGTGGTTAAGGTCTCTGAGCTCTGTTTAGCCTGTGAGCTCTGGTTCTCAGCTCAATAATACTTGGCTTTGCTGTAGTACCTTTCATTGTGAGGATGTGAAAGCTTTTTACAAACATATATTAACCCAAGTGGGAATGACTTAAACTGCAACATGAAGGATTTAAGTTAGATTTAAGGTGGAACTTCCCAGAATTTATTAAATTTTCACTCTTCCTCACAGGTTCTTGGATAAGTCTCATGGGTGTCCTCCAGTTGTCAGTATCAGATACAGGGACAAACTTATTAAATTTCACCCCCTCTTCATCCAGTGCCTTGACAGAGCTGATAAAATTTGGTCCATCCTTGGTGGGATTAATGCAGCAGAGTGAGGCCTCCCCGTGGAAGACTGCCTCTTAGTTGAATTGTTATCTCAAGCCCCTGTGTCTCTGAGGCTTGAGTTTAAGTCTGTTGGGAATGTCCACAGTTATCCATGTCTCACTGGACTCCAGGAGGTCTGGGAAGATGGAGAGAATGGGAGTGGGAGCTGAGCTCACCAGGTTCCTTCCAGGTTGATGATTCCATTTTGCTATCTAGATTGTGAGGAGGAGTATGAGAAAGCCCTGAGATCCCAGACCCCAGGGTATGAAGGGGTAGCCCTAGACCATAGACAGAGATCCAGGCAGTGCCCAGGTTTTCCATTTTGGTGGAGTGATTATCTCTCCTCAGAGTAATTTTCCTCAGGCCCAGAGTATGTGCTTGTGGATTACGCAGGTGTTGACCTAAGTTCCATCTCCAAGAAGGGAGGATTCTTGGCAAAGGTGCCATTGATTTCCTGTGAGGGTGCCTTTGGGTATTTGGCTCCTCTGAATGGCCTTTGGTGGAGTCAAGAGAAGTAGACCAGTCAGCGTACTTCCACACAGACCCTGGAGCTTTCCACGAAGTAAGAATGGCTGTGGGCCCTCTTTTCTAGAATAGTCCTTACCCCATTTCCACACTTGGCAAATTTGACTCAGCCCTGGAAGAACTAAACAGGAGAGAAACTGGGCCAGATAGGGCAGTAGAGGGTGCATGAGCGGTAGTCAGTCATCTGGATGTTGGACCTGGAATTGGCAGCAAATTTCTCCAGACTCTGGCTCCTGCGTGCCCAGGACAAAACACAGGGTGACTGCCTGCTTCGGTTGTGCCTCTGGAAGACGAACAGGCATGGCTGCTGACTGGCCGTGGGAGGGGGTGCCACGAGGACAGGGCCTTCATGTTTTTCTTCACTACTGGAGCCTTCATTCCTCAAATGGGGCTGGTGCATTCTGGGCTGTACGTGAATAAGTTGTTGACTAAATAAAAGGAAGAGTCCTTAACTCTCCAGGAGAAAAGCTGCTGACCTAGGACTCTTCCCTGTCTCTCTGCCCCAGCCCTCAGTGGACTGTCTTTTCTTCTCTTTAGCTCAGGCCCTCCCTCTGCTGGGCAGTTCCTTGGTCTCCCAAGCAAGGAAAGGGTATGGAGGTGCCAGCCGGGTGGGCATGCTGTGGGTTAAAGCCTTGCGAAACAACAGTGTAGTTAATCTTTCTAATTTATTTTCCTTTTAGACCATGGGAAGTCTGTAGGCAGCAGCTGTTACCCAATTAAAATACAGATTAATATAAAAACAGTTTCTGGAATATAAAATAGAGTGGCTGTGTCCTTACACTTCCTTAAAATACCACCTAATAATGACTTGATGAACTACAGAAACCCACCTAGAGGAACTCAGCGTTCTTAAAATGAAAATTTCTTCCCTAAAAGGTGTGTATTACCATTCTATGTAAGTCACTATGAGAAAATAATCTTCCCTCTTAGAGCCTCTGGTTTCTGTGAGTTGGGTATTTGGTATTCATTAAATGTAATTATAGTTTAATCCTCCACCCCCCCCCCCACTTAAAAAAAAAGTTCCAAACAAGCCTGAGAAGCTACTCTTTCTGGAAGTAGCCAGGGGTGTGGCAGGTGTGGTGTTTTCCAGCAGGGTCCAAGTCTGTGAACGGAGCCTCCCTTTGCAGATCCTTGAGGCAGTTCATCCCTGGTCTATGCTTGAGGGATATTTTCACTTCAAAACCAAATGAAACAAAGCAAAGCAACACATTTGTTTGAACCTAGGCCTGACCTGGGTGGAACATAGGCCTGTGAATCAGAGATTTTCTAGACCAGATCCCTAGATCAAGTCCTCACTTAACGTGGTCACTAGATCCTTGGAAACTACAACAGTAAGTGAAATGACTTAAACCATGTCTAAGAATAATGTTTCACTCAGCGAGGACCAGAATCCTTTTCTTCTTTTCAGCATTATAATGAAGCCACATCTTCCAAGGTCCTGCTGCCCATCAGCCTTTTTGTCTGAGTTTCTCCCTCGGTTAACAGGGCTTCTGTTTCCCGCATGGCTACTTGGCATTGAGGGCCCAGAGATGCAGAGTGAAGGGTGGACACCTTCACTAGAAGTGCTGGCCATCAAGACTGAGAGCAGGGGTAGACTTGAAACCATGCTAGCCTGTCCTGGGAGCATTCCCGAGTGCTGCGGGAACCCTGTGAAGCCTGAGGTGAATTTACTTTAGAGTGTAATTTGTGCGGGAGTTACTGAGCCTATTGAATACAAATGACATGCAAATTTATTTTATTTTTTGCAAAATGAAACCTGAAACAGGTTTGAGGTATACCCATAGTCAGTTTATAGATATGTACCCCTATGTCAGGGCAGGTGGTCATGGGAGAAGTTCACATTGTGGCCTGGGACTTTATTCCCAAGGTTGCAGCAGGTCCTGAACTGAAAGCAGTGCAGGGCAGAGGTTCACAAAAAGAGAAGCACAGGAAGGGAAGGGAAGGACCCAGTTCAGCATTGAGACCCTGTGCGCTGGATTTCCACCCATCTGCTACCTCTCTTTCCTTCCAGCTCACCGGGATTATTCAAGCCATGGTGGATGGTCAGCCACGCCTGCAGCAAGTGCTGGAGGTAGGTTGAATGACCTTTAATTCCTGACCTATAACCCCTTCCTGCTGCCTTTCTCTCCCTCCCTTCCTGAGAATGTAGCCATGTAATTTGACTATGATTATGGCTTGATTAGAATAACATTTGCTGTCACATCAGTGACATGCTGTTGAGAGTATTGAACCATTGATCTGTCATCTCCAGCTGTTCCCGTCAGGGTTACTGACAAGATGTCCGAGTGTTGCCAGGAGTGAGGCAGAGGCCCCCACCCCCACTGGCCCATGGCCCTGTGCTGGCCAGCTCCAGGGAAGGCCTGCCCTGGGTGGCTTGGGGAGCAGGGGAAAAGCTGCTGCACTGTGGGACTAGCCCTGGGGACTGGAGGTGTTTTTGTTTAGCTTTAGTGTTGGCTTCCTGTGGCATATGAGCACTTCATTAACTCACCCAGAACTCCCCATCGATGGCTTTTGTTTGCTGTCAGCTCCTCCAGGAGTGCGACTGGGCCTGGCTGCCCCAGTGCAGCCTGCCTTGGGATGTTTTATGCCTGTCAGGGGTGCAGAGGCTGCAGTGGGTAATGATTCCTAATCAGAATAATTACAACAATTGCCTATGTGAGGGAATCAAATTAAAGGCTTTAGAACCCTTGGCAGAGGCCAGCCACATTTCTAGGATGTTTTCCTGAGGGAGCTGGAAAAGGTTAAGATGCTGTTTCTTATGTTCCATCCTGAGGGAAAAAGGAAGGGTGTGCTTGGCCTCAGCTTGTCTCCCTCCCTTCCTGGCCTGGGGCTTTTTAGAAAGGGAGAAGGTCCCCCCTCCCATTTCTCTCTAGGGGAGGGGAGAAAAGAAAAAGTCTGTGGGCCTCCTTAGGTGCTTTATTCTTAAGACTAGAAAACCCAAGATTCTACCCCCATCAATGCACTGGAGAAGACAGAGTAACTGGAGCCAGCAGGGCACATCTGTATGGCAAGCAGTGGGTCTCGAATAAAGAAGAGGAAGGGAGAACTCATTCTTTATCCCAGAGGCCTATCCCCCAGGGGAGAGAAATGTAGACTGAATTTTCTGGGGCTGCTTAGGGTCGAACCAGGGCCAAAGAGTGAGGTTCAGCCTCCCCCAGTGGCAGTGTGCCCATCTCCCTGGGAGTGTGTAAACCAGGCTTTGTCACCAGCCACACTCTGTGACCTGACAGGCTGGATAAGGACAGGTTTGGGGATCCTCGATAGATTAGGAGAAGCTAGGATGGGCTCTGAGGTGTCTCCCAGCCCCACTGACCCTGTTTGAAGAGGAGTTTACTCCTGTGACTCAGGGGACTCCTATGAGATCAAACTATAGGAGAAAGAGGGGGCCCACCTTCCCTGTGTCCAGTCAGAGCCTGGCCCCTAAGGTAGACCAGAGGACTGACAGCTTTTCCCTGACATGTCTCTGGGAGGAAGATACTTGCTGTGGTCAACATGAAATCAGAGCTGTTGAGGCTTGGGGGGTTCCTCAGTGGAACAGGGGAGATGTGGTCCTCAGTCCTTTTCAGCAGTGATCACCTCCCCACAAGATCATGCCTGTTGCCAAGGATCTCCTTCTCCAGAGAAGAAGCACAAGAAGTGCCAGGGCAGAGTCCCCATTCCTGCTGCAGGGAAGTGACATGCCCAGGCTGCTATAAAATCACCGCCAACCAGCACAGAGGGTAGTTTGGTGTGCTGGCAGTTCCACTGTCCTCTGTCAGTCTACAGGAAGAAGAGCAAGACTAGGAAGGCTCCTAGGCTCCTAGGCTGGCTCCTTCAGACAGTGGCAGCAATGAAAGCACCCTGAATCCAAACGAATGGGAAACCATCCCATTTACACATTTTGGATTTTAAGGAAAAGTTGCCTTTAGGCAGCTTCAGCTGCCCTCAGGCCAGCGCTGATACAGGGTGCTGCTTTCCACTGCTTCAGCAAACTTGCTGGGTGAAGAAGGAAGGTTGCTGCCATTGGCCTAAGTAGAGTCCATGGGCTCTGCTTTGTTCCATGAGCCCCAAGTTGGTAAAAAGCTAAAAAGCTAACTTCTTGTCCTAATTGAGACCATGAGGTGTGGCCAGCTCAGGCTGTTTCCCTGACTCACTTGTTCTAAGCAGGGCTCAGGCTGGGCTCCTTCAGTAGCTGGGAGGGCTGGCCCAGCTGATTGGGGTTCGTCTTGGTGGTTCCTCCAACCCTTTATCCATTCAAGCAGAGAAGGCATTTCTCTGACGTGATTCCAGCTGTGGTGTTACTTCCTCAGCCAGGCTCTTAGTGAAGGGGGCTCACTAAATACCCACCCCAGCAGTGAGAGGCCTGGGCCACCAGCTTGCAAGGCCCCTAGCGAGTATAGATGTTTCTCATGGTGGAGGCCTGCTCGGCTGAGTGTTGCCTCCTGACAGGCCTATCCTGTTCTCTCTTAGGACTACTGTGCAGGAGTTGGGGTACTGGGGAACCCCCATAGCAGGTGGGACACTTACCTTGGAGATATAAGGCCACAGAGCCAAAACTGAGGGAGATAAACTATTTGAGGGAGCTCCAGGTTTGCTTTAATACTTCTGTTATGTAAAGTCAGAGTTATTTTCTTTAGGTGACCCTGGGGAAAGGGATGTGTGTGGGGCTGCCGAAGTGTCTAGGGGGTGAGAGAGGGAGTGTGCAAGCCATGGAACCAGATAGGAGTGTTCTTGGCCCTTCAGAATGGGCCAGCCTTCCAGGATCTCTGAGATATCCAGGGAACCAGGCTACACTTGCTAGAAGTAATCTTACTTCAAGATTTCCCCATTATCTCCTGAGCACACAAGACCCTTCGCCATCAGATCTAACCTAGTCTCCCAGCTTCATTTCCTGTTCCTCCTTTATATATCCTATGGGCTGTGGTCACACTCCTCACTATTCATGTTTCAATAAACCAGCAAATATTTATTGAGAGGATAATAGCTGGGTTAGGGGTTAAGACAGTGAATAAAACAGCGTCCCTGCCTTCATGGTGCTTATAATCTGGTGGTCACATCATTGCTTCTCAAATGCAGAATAGTTGTCGCTGTGGTTTTACCTCTAGTAGTAAAACATGGTATCTTTCCCTTTGTTCCACCCTGTCAAGCATACCCAAACACCTGGTCCTTGATGCAGTTATCTTTTTGATGCCTTTCTGACTCCTTTCCACATAAAAGGTAGAACTAGTGGTTTCCGCATCTTGTCCTAGAGCATCCTGGTCACTGTTCCATTGCTGTATCTTTTATCTTGTGCTGTGATGATCTGCCGCTCTCCTTTTCTTAGTCTACTGTCTATTTTGAGTTAGGCACTTAATGCATTATCACTGTTAATTCTCAAAACAGCCCTGTAAGGTTAGTCATCCTGCCTCATTTTGTGGATGAAGGAAACTGAAGTTCAGAGGGGTTAAATGACTTTTAAACGACTTCCCATCAGTGACACAGCCAGGACATGGAAGAGCCAAGGTTAGAACCCAGATGTGTCTGACTTTCAATCCTGCATTTCTAACTGCTCTGCAATGCAGCCTCTCAAAATAACCCTCCCACATGAGCGGGGCAATGGTGAGCTACTGCACTCCCGCCCCAGCCTGGAATCTTCTGAAAACTAGGCAGTGCTTCAGGAATTCTTTCTGAGAACTCTCTCATTATATACTGACTTCAGTATCTGTACTTCCATGTACAGACTGTAACATTGGAAGTAAGACTGGCCAAAGAGCGGAAGAGGTGGAAAGGCTTAGAATGTATTTAGGAACAGTTTCTTTCCGTGTCTAGGAACTGAGCTGTTTTCAAAAGATTCCTCTGAATTTTAATCCTCAGCCATGAGAGGAGAAATACAAATCTGGGGCCAGAGTATGAGCTTTTAGCAACTGGGGTCAAGATGGCCCCTGCAAGGGAGCCTCTTCTGCTAAACTCATGGTGAAAACTATCTTCTTTTGAGGCATAAACAAATTCATAAATTTGGCTCGTAAGCATTTGGGCGGGGGTGAGTAGGGGTATAAATGAGCCTGTGGACTGGAGTCCCTGTGTGGCACATCCTTCAGCCTGTTGTCATGACCCAGGACAACCTGTGTCCTTGTTTAAGGACCAGAGACATTTGGGCTAACCTCCTGGGATCTGTACTTAGCTCTCTGGGGTGGGATGCCAGGCAGTGGGGGAGTGGAGAGGCTCCCTCCCTGACCCCCATATTTGGGCTTGCGGGGTCTTCCCATAGGGATTGCCCTCAAAGTGCTACCGTAGCTCTGAACCAAGGCTGAGAGCCCAGCGTAGAGCCATGACTGCTCTACAATTTTCTTCTGCTCTGATTACAAGCAGTCTATCTGCATTTCACTGCTGTGGCTCTTCACAGACTCGGGGAAAAAAAGGAAAATCTCATCTCTTCTTCTTATGTACTTTTCAGAAAGTCCATGAGTGGATGGCGAAGGAAGGCCTCTTAGATCCAAACGTCAAGTCAATTTTTGTCACCTGTGGAGATTGGGACTTAAAAGTCATGTGAGTATGAGAAGGACCGCATTGCTGGCAGGACTTGGAGTCTGTGGGACCTGGTCTTGCCTTTCACAGACTGACATGTCCAAGCCCAAGTGTAGCTGGATCACAAACTGACATGTCCAAGCCCTAAGATTGGCCACACCCAATCTTTGTGTTGGCCAGGGAGGGAAGAGGCGGTGAGTCCGGCCTTCTGCCTCTGGAGCAGGGAGTTGACAAGTCAAGGACCCTGCAGGAATTGCTGCCTTGCCTGGTGTTCCTGCCCAGAATAGCCCTTCCAGCTCTGGGGTGCCATGTTTTTGCTCTGGAAAGAAGGAGTTGAAACCTTTTTTTTTTCCCCAACCAAATTCATAGTGTTTACTATTCTAAGGGCTTTAGAAAGAGTAACTTATTTAATAACCCTAAGTATTATTATTATTCCTGTTTATAAATAAAGAAATTAAAGCACAGAGAATCTAAGTGACTTGCTTAAGAACACACAGAATCAGTTGCCCAGCTGGCTGGCTCGAGGATCCTTTTTCTTAACCATTGTGCTATGGTTCCCTCTTATCTGGGACACAAGGCCCCCATGATCCAACTGAGAACCCAGTACTGAGATGAAAGAGGCCTGCTTCTAAGAAGCTGCCCAATTTCACCCTCCTTCTCTTTACTCCTTTGCCCCCACCACTTCTCCTTTGTCTCCTGATGCAGCCCGGGTTGTGGGAGACAGAACTGGCTCCTTTGCTGCTTGTCTATCTATGGATACCTGGCTTCAGACAGCCCCCAGGGAACCAAATGGGGGTAGAGGTGGTGGGGGAACTGTTTGCTGAGGACTGATAGAATCAATACCTCTGTATTCTTTGTGACTGAAGGCAGCAGCAAGCTGTGTGTGTGTGTGTGTGTGTGTGTGTGTGTGTGTGTGTAAGCTTTTGAGCTTAGGGTGGGACACTGGTGGGAGGCAAGGAGTAGTGGCTCTGAGAGTGACGTTTCCTACCAAAGCAGAAATTATCTTCTTAACAAGGTCATTTCTATGCCTTTTGGAGACTGGGCACTGAGGTGAAATTATGCACCCAGGCGGGCGTCAAACCTGGGCATGTGACTCTCTAGGTGGGATGGGAGGAGGAGCAAGCCCAGATGGCTTAGATACTCACACACCTCATCTCCACATCCCTAGATCATGTGCACACACTGACTGCACACCTCTAGGTTTGCACACCCAGCTCCCAGAGCTCCAGAAGGTCTCTGTTACCAGATGACACTCATTTGTCAGGAAAATGATACCAGCTGGACCAGAAGGGAATATGAATGAGAGGGATTCCATGGAGTAGGTGAAGAGGAGGAAGACTGTTGCTCTTGTTTATGGTATCTTGGGCAGCTATGAGTGTTTGCAGCAGAAAAGGCATTTCCGCAGCGCTCTGCAGTTTTTAGGGTGAGATAGGGTTCAGGCTGATACCCAGTGTGCTGGGGCTCATGGCCCCAGTTGCCTCCAATAGCCTCCCAGAACCGCCACCGTTCCAGTGGCTTTCTCTCTTTGGCATGTTCATGTCTTAGATACCGGCTCTTCAGAGTCTCTGTAATGTGAGCGGCCTATGCATATGCGGATATGTGAAAAGTTTCCTGTGTGTGAGGTCAGGGTCTACCTGACTGGGCCTCTAACCTGAAGTTGGCCTGCCTGTGGACGGAGAGGGAATAACAGAGGGTGGCATCCTCTCTGAGGCGGGCCTCTTCTGGCCTACAACATCAGTTTAGCCCTTGGCTCGTGGGCCCTAGACAGATTTTGGTGACTCAAGAGGCTGCTTCACATCTTCATGAGAAATGATGTAATCAAGAAGGGCAATTGGGTTGTAAAATTCAAGCTAAGATAAAAAGAAATCAAATTTTAATGAGCACATGCCATGTCTCATCCAGTCCTCCTGACTTTCTCCGGTAGGAGGTGGTATCTCTGTTTTACAGATGGGAAAAAAAATAAAACTGAGGCTCAAATAGGCTTAATAAAGATTCATAGCCAGACAGAACTGAATTCTAATACCATGTAGCTTCTAATAGAGATGGGTCAAGCAGCTTGTGGTGCTGGTTTGGGCTTGCATTGGGGAGGCCAGTGAAGCTCTGAAAAAGAATGTGCAGGAAGGAAGCAGATGTCAGGTGCAGGGGCTGGGGGAGGAGAGCTCTGTAGCTGCCTTTAGAAGCGGGACTCCGCATAACTGCTGGGAAGGCTCTTAATTAAATGTGTAACAAAATAAAAACAGCCAGAGAGGAAACCTAAGTAGTGCCGCATGACAGCGCACAGCTTAGCAGTGTTCCTGGAACCTCTCGTCAGGGCCATCAGCTTTTTATGCGCCTGGTAAAGGCTGCTGATGAGCCCGACTAGGGTGATGGTAAATTGACACCCATAACCTGTTAGTGTGTGGCTTACTTCTTCCTTTGACATCTATTTTCAGATTTAAGTCTAAGGAGCTCAGCAAATATTTTCATTTCCCTACCCTAATTTCCCGGGGCCACAACTCCTCACTGCTGTCCTTCCCCTCTCCCAGACCCCATCCCCCGACCAGCTTCACATCACTTTGGTTGGAAAGGGCCTGATTAGTGAGGCACTGAGAAATGGGAACTGAAGTGGCAGTGGAAATCCCACTGGAGAAAAGAAATCTGCTCTCATCCTGACAAAATCATTTTATGTCCATCTTTTGTCAAAGCCCGGTGAGTTTATACTCCAGGTTTACATCAGCTTTGATCCTATAGTTACAGATTCTGCTAAAGTAGGTTTAAAATTAGTGGGTGCAGATTTAATTTTCCTTCTAAACTTATTTAAGAAATGCCATTCGTTGTGGCTCGGCTCTTGGTCAGCTTGCCTTCCCTACCTGGCCTACCTCTCCTTTGTCTTACCTGGTGTTTCCTTTTGGGGAAAGTTCCTTTTGGGGGTGGTGTTCTTTTTTTTTTTTTTTTTTTTTTTTTTTTTTTTTTAAAGATTTATTTATTTATTTATACAAGCACCGCGTACAGTCAGAAGCACAGGAGGGTGAGAGAATTCACCAGAGCCAGAGCGGGGAACAGAACAGGCAGACTGATGAAGAAGTACACTGCTGAGGGGAGCAGCGGGCGGCAGGAGGGGTCTGGCGCCATGTGGGACCCTTGCCCGGCGACCAGGGATTGAACCAGCACTGCAGAGGCTGCGGGCAGCTTCGCAAGCCAGCGCTCAACTGCTGAGCCACCAGGGGAGGCCCTGGGGGTGGGTGTTCTTTTAGTTTTCTCTCTTCTCTGTTTACCCAGGCCAGAGTGACTATAAGGATTTCCCTCTTTGGCATGGTGGAAGGGTAGGGTTGGTCCAGAGTAAAGAGATACCTGCTCAGGTGCCAGAGATTTTAACCTGTAGTTTGACAGTCCAAGTTTGCCAACTGAACAGCACAACATGACTAAGAAGCTAGTACCTTTCTCAGTGACCTATGGGTCTAAAAGTGGACAAATCGAGAAGATGGAGTTTGAAGTGGGGTGGTTGAGGGTTAGGGAAGAGCTGACATGGGGAGAACCTGCCTCTCAGTGTGGTCTGGGAAGAGGCCCTTTGGAGCTGGTCAGGATAAACAATGCTCTGGTGGGACCAAGTCAGATATGTTGAGAAGACCCTCATCTCTCTCAGCCTCAGGTTTTCTCAGATCCAACCAGAAGTTGAGCCTGTGAATGTGGGCTGCCGTCCTCTGGAGATGTGCAAACCACACTCCTCTGTTGGTGCTGTGAGCTGTGGACTTGGAGCACTTCAGATCATAAGGCACTTGCTTGGTTTACCCTATTTACTGTTTGGCTGGGGTTGGGGGGCACACACTCATTGGGAACTACTAAGGGTATCCTGGAGGGCTGCAGTAATGCACCAAGAGTACTGAAGAACAGAGGCTGCCACCTGGAGAAAAGCCCATAGGGATGGAGCCAGACCATGGGTGGGGGTGGCAGGTCAGACTGGGTGCTCTTGGCAGCATTCAACAAGGCTGACCACTTTCATCCTTGAAACACTCTTTACTTTCCTTCTATCCCCTGTTTCTCTGATTTTTCCTTCACAGTCTCTTTTGCAGATGCTTTTTTTTTTTAAAGATTTATTTATTTATTTATGCAAGCACTGGGTACAGTAAGAAGCGCAGGAGGGTGAGAGAATTCACCAGAGCCAGAGCAGAGAGCAGAACAGGCAGACTGACAAAGTACACTGCTGAGGGGAGCAGCGGGCGGCAGGAGAGGTCTGCGCTCCATGTGGGACCCTCGCCCGGCGGCCGGGGATCGAACCAGTGCTGCAGAGGCTGCGGGCAGCTTCGCAACCCAGCGCTCAACCGCTGCGCCACTGGGGAGGCCCTGCAGATGCTTCTTTCCTTCCTTTTTTCCTTAAATTTGGTACCTTTTAAATGTTGGTGTTTCTTCAATCTCTTCTATCTTTTCATTCTGCACACTCACACTAACCAGTGACCTCATCTTTTACAACATTGCTTCAGTTATCCTGTATATGCCATTGTCTTCCAATCTTTTACTCCAACTGAGAAACAGGAGCTAACATGGCAGCAGATTTCCCACTGGAGAAAAGAAATCTGCTATCTGAACTCCAAGCCTTCCTATCCAGCTATCTGTTCTACGTCTACACCTACACCTACACGTCCACAGGCCTCTTAAAGTTCCATTGCTACCTTTTCCCAATATCTTGGCCTCCAAAGTTCTCTTCAGTAGTAACTGGTACCATCTACTCGTGTAGCTCTGTCAAGAACCTGAGAATCATCCTTGATTCCTTTCTTTAGCTACACCCAATTAATTGCCATGTCCTGATGATTCTTCTTCCTAGAGAGTTCTCAAAGTCACTGCCTTCTTTCCACCCCTACTACCATTGCCCTGGTTAGGATTACCATGTTCTCGTTGAATACTGCATAAGTCTTCTTAACAAGTCTCTTACTCCAGTCTTACTTCTTCAGATCCATTCTCCTAACTGAAGCCTTGACACATGCAGGGCTTCCCTTCAGCCCTCAGGGCACTATCAAACTGTTCATTGACACTCAGATGTTCTAGTTGACCAGTTTCTAAGCAACCTTCTTAATCTCTTTCTCAGTGTCATCCTGTGTGTTTCTGAAGCAGGTGTACATATTCATACTTAAAACTATATTGTAGCTGCCTCTGTTGTCTCTTTCACTAGGTTGTGAGCACTGTTGTAACCCTAGGACAAGGTTTAGCTTATAGTAGTTGTTCAATAAATATTTGTTGAATAAATGACAACTGAGTAATGGGATAGGCCTATGGAATCCCTGCTCAGGCAGAATAACAGAGGATCAACAGTGGACTACTTCAGGGAGAATGCAGAAAAAATTTCAGGCCTTCCTGTACCAGCATGAGAGAGAGGGGCTAGAGAACTGTGCTGCTAATGCTAGGAACCTCCCAGTTTTCCTCACTACGAGCCCTGTGTGTTGGACCCCAGTGGTAGACACTGGGTGGGATGGCCCACAGGCAGGGGCCATGGAGGAGAATTTTGGTCCTCAGAGCAGTGAGAAGGGCTTACTCCAAGAGATTTGTGCTTCAGTACCTAGGATTGAGGCCTCTCTGAAAAAGCTGACATCAAATAATAAAGATAGCCAGCATATATTGAGCACTGATCAGTAGTCCTTGCTTGCTATTTTTATATTATTTAGTCCTTACCAGAATCCTATGAAATAAGTTCTTTTTATAAGCTTTAAAAGAAAATGTGGAGGGCCTCCTTGGTGGCGCAGGGGTTTAAAGTCTCAGTGCTATCAAGCTGTCGCCAGCCACTGTGTGGCATGAGCTTGATCCCCAGCCAGGGGATCACATGGCACAGCAGACCTCTCCTGTCTCTCCCACTGCTCCCCTCAGCAGGTTATTTCAGTAGATCTGCCTGTTCTGCTCCCCACTCTGTCTCTGGTGAATCATTTCACCCTCCGCCCCACACCTCTGGCCAATACCCCAGTTCTCGTATGCATAAGTAAATAAAATAAATTTTTTTTAAAAAAAGAGAATGTGGAAACTGGGGCTCCCAAAGAGGCAAGAAATTTGTCAAGGACATCCAGCCAGTTTATGGCAGGGCAGGGATTAAGCCTAGGCATTCTAGCTCTGGAACACATGTTTAACCCACTGTGCCATCTGACCATCTGCTTGTAGCCCCCTTCATGGCTACACTCCTTGGGATGCGGTAGGAGTGCCATCTTCCCTTGTTTTGTTTGCACTGAGTGGCAGAGCTCTGGATATTCTCTGATACCCTGGATTATTGATGATACCTGGTCTGGTGTTATTTTCATTTTGATACAGGCCATAGTTGTCCAGGAGGTATGGCTTGAGCTGCCTAAAAACCTCCTTGCTGAGCTTCAAATGAATGAATCCTCAGGTCTGTTTTCAGGAAACCACTGCCAGTATTGCTTTGGACACCTCTATCCTCTAGTATGTTTGGAAGTATGTGGGGCATCTCATCATGTCACTAAGCCCGTGAGAGCCTTGTCCCTTGCCCATGGGTGTGCCACTTGGTCCCAGCACCAAGCTGCATCACCTTCGATTAGCAGCCTGCTGGGGAAAAGGGCTTGAGGAAGAACTCCCTGGCAGTCCTGACTTGTCTCATTTCCCAATACTTTTATCTGTCACTGCAAGCGCTTGGGCTCCCCTCCTGAACTAATTAAGTTTGCATGTGTTTAGACACATTGCCAAATAGGGCTTAGCAAAGCGGAACTGAGCTACATCTCTTTCTGAGTAGGAAGGAAGGGTGTATGAATGCTCCTCCACCCGGGCCAGGGAGAAGCATGGGTGACATGAAGTGGCTCTGTGTGCAGGTGATTGGCATTCTGCCCTGACCCTCCTGGGGATGCAGCAGCTGGCAAACCTTCCCATTGGCTGGCAGGGGCCAGGTGAGGGCCCACCCTCCAGCTCTCCTAGCAATTTCGGTATTCTAAGACTTCTGAAAGAGAGCAGGAAAGAAAGAGAGAGAGCAGGCTCTAAAGTGTGATTTTTCTCACAAACTCAAGCAAAACCAAATGCTAAATTTAGTGGGATTTGCAGGGAGCATTTTTAGGGTTTTGTGCTGTTTGCTGCCCACCTGACTTACCGAGATCCCAGACCTCAAATGTCCTCTGTGACTGAGAGATCGCGGGGTATCCCCTTTTTAAGTCTGTGAGAAGTACAGTGGGAACTTGTACAACTGAAGTCTCTCCATTTTGCCTAGAAGAACCCCAGTTCCTCCTCTTCAGACTCATCAATTTGTGAGCTGGTGCCAGGGTTGGCAGGGAGGAAGGGGTTATTACACAAATGAGACTAGTATTGTGCAGGATCTCCTCACCCTGGAGGTTTGGGGTTCAGCCTGAAGGATCCCCATTGTGATCTGTTGGCTGACAGCGTGTTGCCATGTCAGACTGGTGCCTGCCTTTTCCCTAGTGCTGGGTGACCTGTGGTCTGAGATGCCCTGAGTGGGGGTCTTTCTTACAGAAAGGAGGACATCCAGCTGAGGGCCATGGTCAGGGCCTCAGTCCTATAACTCTGAGGCCATGGGTCATCTTCTGGCCATAAAGAGGTTCTTGATGGGCAAGTGTGGCTTGGAGTCAGGCCAGGCTCACAGTGCACGCAAAGTATGTATGTGTGTGGTGGGGGTGGGCAGGGGTTTCTGTAGGTTGTGTAGGAATTCTGGGCCTCCGAGCTGTAGCCCAAGCCCAGAGAGAACGACAACCAGACCTTCTGCCCTCCCTTCAGCTTCCCTAGAGCCCTCTCGTCAGCAGAGGTGCATCGGGTTAGCCCCAAGAAGGCAGCTTGAGTTGATGGGGTCATGTTTCAGCTGCAGCTAATCCAAGTCACTCGATATAAATCTCACCCTGCTGCCTCTCCCCTCCCTCCCATCCCCAACTCACAGACAGGGAAATGAATCCTGGCCCTCGCCCTGAATACATCATGGCAGGCCTGCCTCTAATGAGAGAGGGCCATTCATTGTGGGGTGAAGCTCCCTGCAGAGCCTGGGATGCCATTAATTAAAGAAGAGCCACCTGAAGCCAGTGGTGCGGTGCAGCCTGCCACGCTCAGATGGAGTGGTGGTGGGGTAGCCTCGTTAGCCTGACAGCTCCTTGGGCCCAGGGTTCTTGGGCTCGGAGGAGCGAGGGGTGCCCCGCCTCCACCTGAGAGCTCACATGCCTCTGGGGCCAGCACACTCACAAATGCCTGTGTGCCCTCCTACACCTGTCCTGGGGCCTAGAACTGGCCGTGAAGGGGCTCCAGATTGTGTGCTGGAGTTATCCGTGTCTTCTGTGCAGGCCCTAGGGCAGGGGCAGCTTTCTGTGGCACCCAACTGGTTCCTGGTTCCCCACCCTGTGCTCCCTTCCCCCTCTACCAGGTGGTCTGGGAGCTGTAGATCAACAGACAGCTCACCCGTCCCTCAGAGCCTGAGTTTCAGCAGGTTGGGCTGCTCTGGAAGGACTTTGGGCCTGGAGGTGCCCTGGGGAGAAGCTCTGTTGTCTTGTCAATAAGTATGGCCCCTCCCTGGCAGACAGAGTCTTTGGTGTTCTACTTTCTGGATACTTCAAGGCCAAAGGGCACAACACCTATGGCAGCTTCATCTCCTCACCCCTTGGGAAGGTGTCAGAGCGTCTAGAGCACTTTAGTGAGTATAGGAAGCCCTGTAATAGAGGTTTTGCTCAGTCAAGACCCTGAAAAAGAATAAATTTGCTTAGTATGTGAGATGTTTGTGATGTTGGGGTGCTTTAGCCTGATATAGAGCTGCTGAATGGGTGATTCTTAATGCTTACTTGGTCCTAAGGCCACTGTGACTGCCTGCCTAGGTTCTGGCCCCCCTGACTTATATATAGCACCCCCTTTGACCTCTACTAGGTTTTACCCCGTCTCACTAGCAGGAGGAACTATAGGCAGTGAGACCTTTACCACAGCCCAGTCTTGGGGTAGCTCATCCAGTCTCTGAAGCTCATCACACAAATCAGTCTTGTGTCTGTGGTTCTTTGGGACACCCTCTAGAAGCCTGGGTCTATGCTCTATGACAGACTCTGACAGATGTGCTGCTTCAGAGAGCCTTGGAAGCAGCTGAGGGCATGGTTGAACATATGGTCCACCTCTGCTTCCTTCTGGCTCTCCTGGTAGAGCACAGAGGCTGCTCAGGGCCTCCCACCTAGACAGGACCTTCTAGGCTTGGGACCTGGACAGCACTCCTTTGTGATGTGGACATTTGGGGACCTTCCCAGGCCTTGGCCGTTGCATGGGTCCCTGGCAGCTAAAGAGTAAAGGCTGGAGTACTTGTTCCCTGAACTCCAAGAAGGAGGAGCCACTGTTACTGCTGGAAAATATTCTTTCCAGTGAGATATTTCTTAGATCTGTGTATTTTGAAACATTTTGTATGACTCTTGAGCACTAGCTTTATTATATATGTGATCCTTTTAGAAGGATCTTATATCTAATAAGCACAGTAGGGTACATACAGATGTGAAGTATACAGCCTGATATGCCTTTGTGCAAGTATATGACAGAGTCACTGTCACCCAGATTATGATGGAGAACCTTTTCCATTATCCCAGAAAGTTCCCTGTGTCTCTTCCCAACCAGTAATGCCCTCTCTCTGCCAGGTCACTACTGTTCTGATTTCTCTTACTTTTGATTCACTTTCCCTGTTCTTGAATTTCATATCAGTGGACTTATACAGGATTTACTCTTTTGGGAATGACTTCCTTTGCTTACCATAATGTACTAGCGATCCAGCCATATTGAAGGTATCATATAGTTCAGCCTTTTTGTTGCTGTGTAGCGTACAGTTGTATTTCTATTTTGCAGCTTATTCTCCTTTTATTAGACTACTTTCTCTGATCTTTCAGCACATGTTTGTTGAGTATGTGAATGTTTAATCTGATAAGAGACTCTCTTGGGGCCTATCAACTTGTCCCAATCGCTTCATTCATTCAAACTGAATTCCAGTCAGATGGCCATGTGGTCTTCCCTCTTGCTTCTGGAATCTGTACTCATCTCCCTTTTCTCTGAACTTCTGTGATTGGGAGAGGCTGGCCCAGGCCTGTGGAAGAGGCCTTTCAACCACATTGGCCCATTTATTTTTCAGCTCTAGGTGTTGAGGCTATAGCAATGAACAAGTGAGATAAAATTCCCATAACATCTTGTCTTAGTGAAGTTTACGCTCTAGTGCATGAAGCCAGCACTTCCCCCTGCCTTTTGTACTCTGATACCAGGAAAATCTTTGTCTGGTCCAGATGGTCTACCTTGTGGGATTCTGCAGGAACTAAGTGACAGTGGCCCTTGCTACCTTGATGGGGCCTCTCTAGAAACTGTGGGTTTTCGCCCCCCTTTTCTGCTGCTTGCTGCTGCTGGCAGTGAAAGGGTTTCTCAGTACTGCTGCTTCCCTTCCACTATCCAGGTGTCTGATTCCTTCTGTGAGAGAGAATTAATCTCCAACTTTCCATGCCTGTTAGGTGAGTGACCTCTGTTTTGTCAGCGCTTGCCAATCTGTCCTCTAATTCCCAGCCAGTATAATGGAGACATTACTTTGTTCTAAAGCAAACCTCCAGTTCTCCAAGTGTGGATGTGTGCAGATCAGGCACTGAGTGGGAATCTCCTCACAGATGCACCGGCACCTGGAGGCTACAGGGGCTTTGGCACCTGAGCGGTTTTGGTCCTGAAAGGTGGTTGGCAGATTCGAGGAGGGCAGATGCCCTACCGTCATATTCTCCTAACTACCATGCATGCCGGTGGGGCAGCTGCTGCTTTTGTCAGACTCCCAGGAACACATGAGAGTCTGCAAACACCCCCGTGAGGAAGGAGTCAGGGAGCAGGGGTCTTGGAAGATGAAAGCCGGGGAACTCAGGCTTTTGCTGGCATGGTGGCCATGACTGCATGATCTGTGGGCTCAGAGGGCTTAACTCTGGAAGGCTTTGGAAAGGGAGGCTGTGTGTGGGTGGGATAAATTCTCAGTGTCCCTGGCTAAAGGGTGACACGACCAGACTTGATAGTTCTGTAAAACTGTTTCTTCCAAAGCCTGCAAGGATGTTGGTTTGGGGAAGAAAGCCAGCCAGCCCAGAGAATCCCGGGAGCCTGACAGGCCTTTTTCTCTGCGATTCTTTCTTGCAGGCAGCCCGAGGCAGCCTGTCTCTTTGTTAACAGAGTGACAGCAATGTGACACCATGGAAATAATTACTAACAAATCACGGTGCTGACTGCAAACAGCTCTCTGTCTTCAGAGGCATGTCAGGGTGCATTAGAGCAGGACTGGAGGCGCGGCACATGTGGGGGGCGAGGCGCAGCCCGCACTCAGTGCGCTCCTCTTCTTCCCCCACCCTGACCCCTCTCTGCTGTGTCTGACTTGTCTTGTTCATGGCCTTTCCCCACAAGGTCAGCTGAGGGCCCAACTGGGTAAGTGGCATGTGGCAAGTCTGCTTCCTCCTGGGGGGATTGGGGGACACCCATCTTTGCTAAGAAACACCTGAGTAGTGATGGGACCCAGGAAATTTTCCATTATGGGGCACCCCAAAAGTGGGAGGATGCTCCATTTTTTATTTACTCTCTGCTATTTTGGACCAGCTTCACCTGCCACTGGTTTGGGGTTTGTGGGTGACAGCTGTAGGGGAATCCTTATTTCTCAGCTCTCTTCCACCACAGCCCTGGTCTTTCTTCTGTTGCCATAGTCAATTTTTGGTAAGTCGACTTTGTCCATTCCCTCTTGCTTAGCAGAGTGATTGCCCTGACTGTCAGGGCTATGAATAATGTTCCTGGTGTGTGTGACTGGAGGCAGGCATGTGGGGTGGGGAAGGAGAGGAAGGAGGAGCAGCACTCCAATGGCTCCGCGCCCCCTCCCCTCTCATACAATATTTATCCAGGGATGGGAGTCAGATGCAGCGACCTCAGGGGTCACCCAGTTAAATAGCTTCTGAACCTCCCTGCATTCTAATTGCTGCAGTTGTCCTTTGCTCTGGAGACTTCTCCTCCCCATTGTCTGCTGAGGCACACACTAATGGCTGTCCTCCCTGGCCCTGCTGGGAGGCATGGGGGTGGAAAGAGGAGAGGGCTCATTGCTACCTTCTTTTCCCCAGGGATGAGGGAATCTGGGGCCTATTAACAAGTGGCTTTAGCTAGGAGGAGCACAATTCCTTGTCTCCCTCCACCCCCCTTCCCAAAGCTGTCTGGAGAAGGAGGCCCAGCTAGTGGGTCAAGAGGCTTCCCCCATTTCCAGCCCTAGAAGCAGAATTGTGGGACCAGTGACTCCTCGACAAGGGGACAGACCTTTCAGTACTCAGCTGATGAACATCAACCTATGTTCCATGGTTCCACATTCAGGGTCTGGAAACTTCTAATGAGTGATATTTTCTGTTGGAATATGCTGCACGGTACCCAAAGATTGGCCAGATGCAAAAGTCTCTTTGGTCCCCTGGAGGTTGATTTAGATGATTGATGGTGGTAGCAGGTGTTCCCCATGTGTTGATTTAAGAGTGGCATGTGCCACATGGCTTCACAAGGACCTTCTTATAAATGTCAACTAACCCTCCATTGCAGCTCTTTCTCCTCGGGAATACTGTTGGAAACTGCCACGGAAGGTGGAGCCACAGCAGAGCTTGAAGTGCTGGCATTCCAGCAGTAGCCTAAGGTTAGCCTCATGGAGAGCTGTCCCAGCCCCAGGAGGTACTGTGAGGGGGTCTGTGGGGAGGGACTGCCAGGTGATCAGGACAGAAAGCAGCTTGTGCATAACTGATTACAGGCTAAGTAAGGCAGAGTAGAACACTGTACCAGCAGAACACAGTGAGTATTTTTTTTTAAGTAGTAAGCTATTCTTTTAAAAGAATATTAGAGAAAGCCCAATATTACAAACTCTATAAGTTGAACTGTTCTGGTTGAAGGTTGGTAAAGTCCTGCCTATTCTTCCTCTTCTTCCACCCATCCACCAAGTAACCTAATGTCCCTCCTAAGACCCTAGAGCTCCATGGAGCACAGATTAAAAACTACTAGCATGTCCTAATGCCCACCCAGAAGTCTGACTCCGTGTAGACCAAATGCTTGCTTGCCTTGCAGGAGTCGGGGGAACTGGGATCAAGGCAGAGGAGACCAGCCAGGGCCTAAGGGGAATAGCTGTGTCCTGGAAGTGTATAGGAACAAGGTCAGCCTGTGTCCCAGATCCTGACTGCTTGCAGGATGCCTCTTTTCAGAGCCTGCAGAGGGCATTGTAGGCCTCTCTAAGGCAGCCCAGGCAAAGGGTCAAGATGGCCACAGGTCAGGTGGAGGGTATAGTAGGGGCTGAGTTGGGGATTATGGAGACAACTCAGACTGCCAAGGAGCTCCTGAATTCCCTGGCCAAAAAAGAGAATAGCTCATCAGCTGAGATACTAACAGTGCCCTGGAAACCTCCTGTCATCTGCTCCCGTTTTCCTACATCCCATTCTGTGCTGTCTGCTGGGGCGCCTGCCTTTCCATCTGGGAAGGAGAGCTCTGGCCAGGTCCTGGTGGCAGCTCCAGCACTTCCCATAGGCATAGCAGGTGGGGCCCTTTCCCTGGAAGAATTGCCCTCGATAGGACCCTGGAGAGGTGCTTGTCTTGTTTTACTAGAGAGGAGCTGGGAGACAGAAGTTATTTGTCTTCCTGGAATATTTGTGGTACTGGGAGGTTCATACTGTACCTCCCCACAGAGTGTGTGTGGCGGTTGTGTGCTTTCTGTAGTCATTTATGTGGGATCCATGTGGGAGAAATGGGAGTAGAGGTAGCCAGCGAATGAGCCAGAGAGCAGTGGGCAGGGAGGCCTGTGTACACAGTGCCTTTTGGAGGCTTCAAGCAACTGCTTGGCAATGAGGATTTGAGGTGGCTTTTCTTTGGGAGGACCGGCAGCCTGGCCTGTGGGGTGTCCTTCTGCACCCGCCTGTGTTCTGGTTTCTGTTTGGGAACTCTCCAGAGCAGCCTGTCTGGGAACACTTCCAGCTGTGCCGCCAGACCCAGACGCAGGTGACGGCCTTTCGTCTGTACCATAGGGAAACGAAGAGGAAATTAAATGTCATTTGCCCCCTGCACAGCAGGTCGCTGCCAGATCAGACACTGCTGATCAGAGCTGTGGGGAGGGCACCCGAGGGAAGGCTTATGCCGGCAACTATGCCCTCTGAGCTGTGGCGCTCCCAGGTGATGGCCTGGCTTGCTCCCAGGCTTTCCCTGCCAGGCTGGGTTCACCCTGGCCAGGAGCCCAGCCCTGTGCTAACTGGCAGCTGTGGCCCAGGCCAGGCCAGAGGTACATGTGTACCAATGGAGGGAATAGAGGGGGAGCACAGGGCCTGGCAGTAGAGGACACATGGGAGACAGTGAGGTGGCTGGTCCTTCCTTGGAGAAGCTTCCTGACACTGTAGGAAGAGCAGCCTCCTTCGAATTAAAAGAGACCTCCGTTTAATTCTTGTTTACTAGTGGCAGGATCTTAGGAAAGTCTCTTGACTACTCTTAGCCTCCACTTCCTCATCAATAAAATGGAGCTTGGATGCTCATAAGCTCTGGCTTTTGATGTCAAAAGTCCCTCACTGCCCAGGGACTTACTGTCCAGTGAGTAGCTGAAGGTGATGGGCAGTGGAGCGGGTAGTGGGTCCAGCCAGGAAGGCACAGCTGGGAATCCCCACTGCCTAAGGCCAGAGCTTCCTGTCCTGGTCCTCTCAGCCAAGCATCACAGGGCTTTTATGAGGTGACTTTGGGTGATGATGGTCTTCCTCCTAATTGTGGGGCTCAGTTGGCTCACTCTAGCCTCACTTAGCAGTACCCTTTTGGGAGGACCTCAGGACTTGCCCCAGCCCCTCCCTTGTCCTGAAGTCCTGGTGGTGGGCAGTAGTTCTTGGCTTGCAGTGACATTTATTAACAGGGCTTTGGGAAAAGATGTTTTAATACCGCGAGAGTTCTCCCTCGAAAACTCCCTGCCCCCCCCCACCCCCATCTGAAGCATGGCTGCTGGTGGTGAAATTCATTAGTGTTCCCTGACAGGCAGTGGCGACAGAGGCGCTCGCTGTCTGCTTCCCGCTCCCTCGCTCTCGTGCTCCTGCTTCACGCACACTGATATTTAAAGCTGATGGGCTGCTTATAGACTTCTTGTACCATGACAAGTTTGGGGAGGGGGGTGGGGGAGGATGAGACAGACAAGGAGCCAGCTGTCACGCTGGTATTTCAAACAGTACTCTCTCCTGACCCTTTGCAGGCTCCAGCAAGTGTATCATCTTTCTGAAGTCTGTGGTTGGAATTGTAACCTGCAGCCGTCCCAGAGGATGGGGGCAAGTGTGGGGGCAAAGTGGGCTGAGAAGTCGGCAGTGCATTCTCCCAGGGCCGTGGGCAGGCGGAAAAGGGAAGGAGTGTGTGTGTGTGTGTGTGTGTGTGTGTGTGTGCACTTGAGCAAAGGAGACTGAAGCTGAGTCTTTGTAAGTGTGCTCCACAATTACCCTCCCAGCACCAGAAACGAGATGGCCTTTCTCAGTAGTCCCTCCAAGAGGGGTCATTATGTTTCATGATGTGGTTATCTTCTGGGTGGGCACCAAGACCATAGGAATCAGATTTGATTGAGGGTCCTGGGTTTCAGTGGGTTTCAGAGGGACCCTTGAGGGTCCTGGGTTTCAGTGATTTGCATCAATAGGTGGTGGCAGTTGAAGTAGAAAGTTCTCCCATTTTGTGTCTAGACTGAGGGTTGGCTTTTGTTCCCTGGTATTTGTATGCTGATTCTTTGGATTTGGCACCTCCAACGTGTCCCCTCCTTCCTCAACTCCTCTCCTTATCCCCGACTTCTTTGAGTTCATTTTTGCAAGTGTTGAGTGCTTCTGGAACTTTCTCTTTGCCTACAAAGCTTCCTCAGCCTCCTTTTCCTGACTAAGACACAGTCTCCTCAATACAGGTGGCCTAGAAGCATCTCTAAAGGCTGTTGCAGGTTTGGTCTTGGCTAATCTCATTATAACCAGTACCCTTTCTTTTGAGTGCTTATTTATAAAATATGTTTCCCTTGGCTGACTCGTTTAACCTTCACAGAACAGGGCATAGAGGTGATATGACTCGTCTAAGGATACGTAGTCACTTGACCAAGTTGTCCTGTAGTGAAGTGAAGCCTGGTGCTGCATGAGGGTGGTACTGTACTCCCCCAAATCAGGTACCTATCTAGTTCCAGAGTCTCTGGTGGAGGAGTCACAGGGGAATAGACCAGGCTCCTCCACTCCCTGCTTTTTGTCTTGGAAGTGCCGTCTGTACTGTCACTGACATACTCAGTTGAAGCATAGTGGAGCTTGTGTCAGGGGTTGGGGAGGTGGTGGGGGAAGTACTGGTTAATAAAAAACACTGGACATCTCCTGGTGGAGGATGGAGCCAGAATGTCTTTTCTGTCTGTAGACTCAAGTATATTCTTGAACTGTCAAGGATCATCTTTAACATGATCACCTCCAGTAACCTCTGTAGCCCCATCCTCCCCCCAGCCCTGCACGCTATCTTGCAGACTCCTACAGGGCCTGCTGGTGTGGGACTTCCTTCTCACATAGCACCTTTCTCTCCCTTCCTGTTCTTGCTGATCCTGCATCAGCTGACAGCACTGTATACACGGCCTGCCAGGGTCGGCTGGCTATGTCTTCTGGAACCTGGTGCATCTGGAAGGTACGGTGGCAACTGACCGGCTTTGATAAGTAGGAGGCTCAAGCATTAATTTTTTATACATCAGCAGCAGCCAAGTGAGTGAATTCAATTATGAGTCTGCTTTCTCTCTCCCCTTCATCCCCCAATGTGGTGGTTCAGAGCAGAGACTAAGGAACCTGTTGAAATGAGAAACCCCTATTTCCTGACTTGACCCTCTCACTAATTCGGGTTAAATTACTACGCTGTTGCAGTGGTGACACATTGTGCCTGCCTCTGTTTGTATAAGAGGATGCAGTGGGGGAGGAAGGACCAATTTGTGCCGAGATAAAAGGTGTCACAGGCAGATAACTAACGTCCCAGCCTCGTGCCTGCTCTCATTGTTGCTCAATTTGCTCCGTGTGGAAGCCCAGCCATCCCCTCTTTCTTCCTTCCCTCCCCTTGCTCATATTTTACCTCAGTGCCACAGTGTAATGATGCCCTGCGTAGTGGGGGAGGAGATAGGCACCTCTGGCTGACAGCCCTTCCTGATAACCAAATTCCAGCCCATCCATCACCAGCTACTCTCCTCAACTTGAGGAAAAGTGATCATGAAAGGCGGGCCGTTTATCACCCGGGGTCTGTTTATCTCCTCTGGGTGGGGGAATGGAAACAGACGAGACAAAGAGCTGTGTCCCCAGCTAAGTGCTGCCTCGGTGGGCCGGGGCAGCTGCCCACACTGGATGAAGACTCACACCATGCTGACTGGAGGCTCTGACCAGATGAGACTCTCAGCCTGGGAGTCCCATGGGACTGTTCCATGGGAATGGACCTTCCCAAGGCTCAGCTTCAGGATCTGGGGCAAGGCTTAGGAAGTGTGGCAACTCTGAGCTGAGGATAGCCAGTGGCACCTTTCCGCGGGAATGCTTGTATGGGGCTGAGCGAGTGTGGAGGCCCTGCATGGAAGCACCCCATCCGCCCCTCATAGATGTCCCCTTGGCAGGAGCTTCCATCTGACTGACTGGCTGCCAGGGTCTCTGGCCTACTCCATCCTGGGGCGTGGTCCAATTGTGACAGATCCTTTTCCTTGTTCTTAATCTTTGCTCCTCAACACTCCCATTTATTTCTGCCTAGCATATGCATCAAAATAGTTTGCCCTTGCAGTTGAGCAGATTCTGGACACCAGGACTGACAGCCTACGTTACTCCAAGGTCAGTCTCATAGCCTTTCCAGGGAGGCAGAAGGAGTCAAATATGGCTCCAGATTCAGCTGACCTCTTTAAGGACTTGAGTCTGCTAAAAGTGAGAGTGACATGCATCTCCCTGATTTGTGTTTGGTTATCCCTAAGATTGGGTAGAGAGAGAAGCACAGAAGGAAGACTGTCCATGAACTTTTCCAGCACTGGTGTCTGCTCTCTGGCTGGTCCTGACCGCTGGTCCCTGCCAGTCTGTCTTTCAGACCTCCACAGTTGCTACTGGCCTCCTTGACTCAGCCTTGCAGTTCTGGCAGAGCCCTGCAGCTCTGCTTCACCTAATCTTCAAAGCTGAGCTCCTGCTCACAATGGCTCTATCCTGTCCATGCCCATTAGTGAGGGTGGTGCTCCCTAATGAGCTAGTCCCCTGCCTTGACTGGCGCCAAGCTAGTCACACCTGTTTGCCATCAGCGCTGTCTGGGCCAGGCCCCAGCACTGGTTGCAGGTGGTGGGACTGAGTGAAGGGTGGGTGGGAAGGCGGAGCTCCTTTTGCTTTGTGCTGTACACTTGGGGGGAGGGCAGTTTCTTATACTGCTGTTCTTCCCACTTTTGTTCTAAGTTGGGGGGAGGGCTCTCTACTTTCCATCTTATTTTTTTAAACCCATTGTAAGGGAATTTGAGGCATACCACATCTTTTCTAACTTTCCCCTGAATGGCATTTCGAAGAGCCAATTGGGCATCTGAGGATGGGGTTTGATAATTCTGTTCTGATGACCCTGGAAGCTCCATGTGATATGAGCAAGACCACATGGTCATCGCCAAAAGGTGTAGCTCCTTTCTGGCCCTAGGCCTCACAATATTGGGAAAACGGTCAGATCCCTCAGCTTAGAGCCCACAGGCAGGACTAGGGGGGCCTTTAAGGGGGCCCCTTGCATTCATGAAGCTGAAGGAAGTTTTGATTTGGTTGGGGAAAAAAATCCCATTCCTTTTTATGGCCTGGACATAATTGGCTCTTTTCTATTGGCCATCAGTGATGTCATTCCGACCCTCATAAAGAAGGGGAAATCACACCTGTGGACTCGGTGCATAAAATTTCATTGGGCAGCAGTAATAAGCATGGCCAGATGATGTTTGAGCAGTTGAGAAGCTTTGTGCCCAGTGATTCCAGCTGCATGGAGACCTGGGCACCATAAACCCCTGCACGTTCATGCCCGCAGGCTAGTCCAGGGCCCACTGCCAGTGGCTCTTTTCTTGGGATCAGTATCTGGTGGGAAGTCAAGGAATTCAGATCCTTTGTGCCAGGGAGACTTTTGCCCTTTCCTTTCGAAATTGGTGGGAACCACTGGTACCCACTGACCCTAGCCTTGGGCTTCTAAGGACCCAGGCGTGACTTTGAGCAGTGGCCACCATGCTGCTTGCCTCACTAGGCCCCAGACTTTGCCTTTCTAGCCCTGTAAAGAGCTCTCAGTGTACTTGTATCAGCTGATGCTCTGATGTAGGTGCAGTCAGAAAGCTTGGATTCCATTTCTAATTCCATCCTTGCCTTATTGTATGATTGAGCAGATCCTTTTCCTTCGCTGGGTCTGTTTCCTCTTTCATATAAGGAATGACAGCTATTCTAACCCACCTTCACAGGGCTATTCTCTCTGTGCTGTCTAAGCAGGGGTATGGTTCTGTCATAGAAATGTGTAGCCATCTTCCCACGAGGTACCTGAAGTTCAGATTCTGGCATGGGGGTCTTTGTCTCTCCTGAAGGTGGGCCTGGGCTCGGCTGCATTTGTACTGCTTGTGTCTTGGAGTCACAGGGCTAAGACCACCAACAGACTAGTGGACTCAATAACCTGAATACCTATAAGTTGATGAACTGCATGTGAGAATCATGCTTCATCATCCACTGGGTACAGAACAGACTCAGGACTCCTGCTGAGCCATATCTGCAGCTGAGTCTCCAGCCTGACAGTCTGTCTGCCTAGTCTACTCTCAGTGTGGCCCCTTTGGCTTAAGTCCTCCTCCATGAGGTGCAGCAGGAGTCTACTGAGCTAGACCTTTCTTATCTGGATAGAAATGTCTGTAGCTGCCTTTGAAGGGGGAGGCTTGTGTCATCTAAAGTCAGGGGTGCAGGTATTGGCTAAGGGACAGCATAATAGGTGCCCTGAGACCCTTGCCTTTTGTTGGCCAGGCCCTCTGACCTGTTCTTTTGCAGACTCTGGTGGCCCCCTTCACTCACAATGATTTTTCAAAACTAGTGAGCTTCGTGAGTATTTTCATAAATAAAATAAAGAACGTGAAAGAAAAAGTGAAGAAAACTAAGCATTACAGTTCTGCTTTTGAGACGATCTCATTCTATCTCCAAAGGCTACCTTTTCACCTCAAAACTTTGCCTCGTTTCCTTATATTCTTAGTCCGTGGTTCTCATGTGGACTATGAGAAGTATCACATCCTGACTGAAAACCCCTTCATCCTCTTGATCTCAGCCAGAATTTCCCTTCCAGGAAATGAATGGTTGTAGTTAATATCACTGGGCCATCTGGATGTTTGAGAGGAACTTCCCTTCAGGTAAGACATCTCAGGTCTTTTAAGAAAGGTAAATCCACCTATACTGCCTGAAATATGGGGATCACTTTCCTATTAGTGTCTGTTAAGTAATCGAAGAGTAATGGAGGGAAGGCTGGACTGCCTTTCAACTTTCTGGTATGAAACTAGTCCTCTGAACTGGACTCCCATTGCCAAACTTCCTAAAACAGGATTTTGCACATAGGAAAGTGTTCTTCACTTTCCTATTCTTACTCTTTCACTCATCTTCATGTTGCAAGCTGCCTTCTGCTTCCACCAGCCCCCTGACTCCCTCTTAACAAGGTCACTTGGGACCTCATAGTTAACCAAATCTGGGTTTTTCTCAGCTCTTCTTTTTGACAACTCTGTGGCATTTGACCTACATTTTAAGCAAAGGAGAAAAAAATCAGGTGCGCACATGTGTGTGTGTGTGTGTGTAAGTGTATCTATCTGTGTGTCTGTGTGTCTGTATGTATGTCATCCAGAAAGGAGAAGCTTGGTTTCACCACTTCAGGTTGACCACAGGTGATGTGAAGTGGGTAACCTTGGGTATCTCATACCCTGATAAAGGTCCAGGCACCCTGCACTCTGGGAATGAGAGTAAGTTGGGTGGGTCCTAATTCATGGTACATTATCTCCTTAGGAATTCTTGAAGAAGCTGAAGGTATGTGGCCGGGAGAGGAGAACTGGAGGGAAGCTTCCTGGACTCACATCTTGGGAGGGTTCTGCAAGGAAGAGATAGATGTCTTGTTCTCTGTAGTTCTTAAATATATACAGCAAATAGCAAATACATGGATGGAAGTTACAAAGAGACAAATTTAGTTCAGTATCAAGGAAGGATGTTCTAAAAATTGAAGAAGTCCAGCATTAGAGCTGGCTACTACATAAAGTGGTGAGTTCCTTGTGTGTGGTGATGGTCTGGTAGGGGTGGCCTGATTTCATTTTAACGCAATAAAACTTGTAAGACATTAGCCCAGCTCCTCTGCTCATCCCACTCTGTAGTCTTCCCAAGTGATCTTATCTACTCTTATGGCTTTAATTTTATTTAAGTTACATTAACAATTCAGCAATCTCTTATCTCCAGTCCAGACCTCTCTCAAAAGCTTGATATCCAGCAACCCCTTAGATACCATCCTAGACTCCTCAGATTCAACCAATATTGTCACTGTGTGTCAGTCATATGTTTAAAACTTCGTTCTCGACTTGTGCCTCCTGCCAGTGGCCTGCTCTAGGGAGCACAGAGGCAGTGGCAGCAACCCAGCCGGGTTGAAGCAGTAGGGAGACGTGCTGTGTATAGAGAATTTTTAACATGTAATAAAATTGACTACATGTGGTTCGCTTTGGGTATCAAATGTTTTCTTCATGCCCCTGCCTCCTCCTTCATATCTGTCTTAGTAAGTAGCATGCATTTCTCGCCTTTTAATTGGTTTCTACCGCTTTCTCTCATTGGGCCCCCTTCCCATTAATTCACGAGTGCTGGGGCCTCCCTAATGGTGCAGAGGGTTAAGTCTCAGCACTATCAAGCTATTGCCAGCACGAGTTCAATCCCTTGGAGCCAGGGAGCTACCCACATGGCGCACCAGACCTCTATCTCGCCCACTGCTCCCCTCAGCAGTGTATTTCAGCAGATCTGCCTCTTCTGCTCCCCAGTCTGTCTCTGGTGAATCCTCTTACCCCCCAACCTCTGTCCTATACCCCAGTTCTTATATGCATAAATAAATAAAAATAAATCTTTAAAAATAAATTATTCACGAGTGCTCCTTTCCATCTTCTGTCTGCTCCTTGCTCACTGTCTCTGCAGCTATAGTCTAGTCTCTGGGCTAGTGCCCAGCTGTTTCAGTGAGTTGTACTGTTAGTGTATTGTTGGCCCCAAGACAGGCTTTGTAAATTATAACTCTTAGTAGGCTTGATACTTCCCGTGGCCAAACTTTCCTCTTAGCAAGAAGTCTCATTCTCTATAGTTCCTTAGCAAGATAATTCTATGATCTTCTCCAGCTGATATTTCTAGTGTATTTCTCCATCCTCCCATGTACCCCAGGTTATTTTGTCTATTTCTTTTGTTGTTTATTCCACTGAAAAACTGAGAGCCCCTTATGGGCAGAAGTAGTGTTACTTTCTGAGTCCTCAGAAAGTATTAAACATCTGTAAATGTTTATTTATTAACATTTTAAATGTTGTTTAAACATCTTATTAAACATCTGTAAATGTTTGGTTGAATGAACTTGTGTGGGTAAAATGACACCATCAGCTAGAGGGGGAGAGTTTGTAAATTCTGATTTAAAGAAAACATAAACACTAACTCTTGGTTTAAATTCTGACTTCTTATCCTTCCATATGGTCTCCTCCTTCTGAAGAAAGTCTGTTGCTAGAGACTTAAACGTAAGCTGAAGCCCCTGCTTGGCTATTTCCAAAATGTGTGCCCCTGCTCTCTTCTGTCTTATATCTCTGCCACTCTCCTGTAAAAAAAACAATAGCACACTGGTGCGTTGGAAAGAATGTAGGATATGAAGTAACAACTGGGTTCAGATCTTTGCACTAGCATTTTTTAGATGGGGCCTTAGATAACATAACCTCGTTGAGTTTCATTTTCTCATCTGTAAGTTGTAGGCAATAGTGCCTACTTTATAGCATCACTTTGAAGATAAATGAGAAATGTGAGTTAGTAAGATAGTTGGCATGTTGTAGGCTGTCAGAAAATAGTAGTTGCTGATGATATTTTGAATAGTCTCCAGGTTCTCAAACTGGATATGAGCACTGGATCTAGATATGAGGGTGCTGGAGGTGGAGTACTTTCTTGGAAGGAGTGGGACCTTTTGAGTTCTGTTTGTCCCATAGACAGATTTTCTAGCTTAAGGCTCCATATCTGGGACATGGGTGTGCCCAACTTGTTCTCTTTTCCCTTTCTTGTAGGCTTCCAGGCCAGTGCCAGCACTTGGGTTTGCCAGTGGCGGATTACTTCAAGCAGTGGATTAATCTGAAAAAGGTACTGGGTCCCACTTGGGTGCTTCCTCTGGTTCTCCTGCGCCCCAGATCTCCCCTCCCTTGCTTTCCTTCCTCATCGCTATTCTCTTTTCTCAACTCTCCCTCTTTCACCTCCCTGGCTGATATGCACTGGAGGGTTGTGGTTATTTCTGGGAGTGGGTAGCTACTTGGGGATCCAGTACTGAAGGAGTGTGCTCCTGGGTGTCACCCAGACATACATGTTCAGAGAAGTCCCAGTTAAGGGGATTTTCCAGGTTTCTTGCTCAGAAGTGAATCTCTGGGCTGAACTGCATTTCCTCTAGAATATAGGTGTGCTAACTGCGCCTCTGAGAAAGTAGCTTCCTGTGATGTGATTAGGAGTGTGACCTCTGACCTCCCTGACTAGCCCTGGTTTCTCCCTCTGGTTGGGCGTGGAGTTGATCCAGGCTGGATTTGGCCCTGCTTAGCCACAGTAGAGCCTGGCTCATGTGAGGAGGGGCTACAGAAATACAGCCCAGTTCCCTTTGAGGATCCAGGAAACTGGCACCAGTGTAGCACTAGACACCCAAAGAGTGGGCCAGGAGGGAGTCCATATAGTAGGAAAGTGGGCTGTGACAGAGAATGAATCACCCAGAAAACTGTACTTTCCTACCAGCTGCTGTGCTTCCTAGGTAAGCAGAAGAAGGTAGGTGTAGGAAGGGACATCCCTGCTCTTGTGGGATTCTTGCTTCAGGAGGCCTTGTCCACTGGGGAGTTCATCCCCATCAATCCCTCTGATGTAAGAGCAACAGTTCCTGGAGAACCCTGTGCCATCGATCAGGTTAGTGACTCCTGGGGAGCTCAGAGAGGGTAGAACACACTGTGGATCAGGATGGTGGCCCCCTAGGGCCTCAGAGAAGAGAGAGGTCATTGGAGGGTCAGACTATGAGGATTTGGGTCTTGAACTAGGCATTCAAGGAAGGTTGGATATGGGTCTGAGGAGGAGACAAGGCTTTCTAGGCAGGGAGAGCATCATGCTTATCTATATGGAGGGGCTGGAGTTAAGCAAGCCTGTGGAGGAACTTTTGAAAAGAACGACCTTGGGCTTTGTTCCATAGGTCTCAGGGCAGCCAGTCTGTGGCAACGTTTGTGAACTCCTTGGCTTTCCCATGGTGGACAGGTCCTTTGCTGACTTGTTTGTACTTTGATGCCTAATCACTGATGGCCCATGCAGCTAAGCAACAGCTACCTCCTGCCTTTCATCTCTGGAGGAGGAAGCCAGGCTTTGTCCTGCCTTTGAGCTTTGGCCTTGGCTTCATCTCTCCTAGAGTGTCCCTCAGTTATCTTCCTCAGGCACTTTCCTTCCCCTTGATGATTCAGCTTAGGCATCACCTCTGCTGAGAGACTTCGAAGTCATTCTCTTCCTGAGGCTCCTTGACACTTTGGGTATCAGTGAGCTTAGAGTGTTGAAACTGAGTCTCTCTGTGTTTCCTTCTGGCAGTGTCTGCTTGGAGCACAGAGACTGTGTCTGGTTCCTCTCTGTGTCCCAGAAGACCAGCTCAGGGCTAGGTACAAAGTATGTGCTCAGTGAAGAATTGCAGGCTGGCTCCATAGAGATGCTCGTAGGCAGGACTTGGCAGGGCCACAAATGAGGGTGTAGCTAGCCATGCCTCCCAGAAGATAGCATACCAGCTGTCACACTGCAACTGAGGCTGCTTGCTGGACTCAACAAATGCAATGTGAAGGCCTGGCCAGGCAAGGCAGGCATTGACCAGGAGCAATTGCTCTGTGAAATTCACTAGACTTTTTAGTGTAGGGACGATGCCTGCCTCTAGGTTTCTTGGCAGAAAGGCAGGAAAGTAGCCAACCAATGTGGTAACATTGCCACTAAGAGCTTACTACCTCAGTGCTGCAGGGCTGGATGTAAGCAGTCCTAAACTGTTTCAGATTTCTCTGCCAGACTGTGCTGAGTTGTAGAGGGAAAGAGTGGGTACAAGGGGAAACTGAGGACTCTGTTCCCAGTTGACCTTGTCATTGCCTCTTAGGGGCAAACTGGAGGTCTAGAAAAAAAACAAGAGGTAAGCCATTCCTCTCTGTCCTCCAGCCACATCAAATTCCAGGTGTGTTTGAGGGCTAAGCAGGAGAGATGACAACTCCAGATGTTAGCCTAGTCCTTGCAGCGGTCATTCAAATCAGAGCCCTAGAAGGCCAGGGGCATGGTGGTCTTTCCAACCTTTATGCTGTACACTATAGGCTGCACAAAAGTGCCTCCTCCCTTAAAAAAGAGTAATGACAAAAGCAAAGCCAGAGAGAACACTGTTCAGGCAAGAGAGCTATGCAAGGTCTTGCCCTGTGCCGTCTTTCTCCATGTATGACCCAGGCTCTTGATATTCTCTTCTGTCCTTGACCTTACTTTGCCCTCCCCTTCTTTCCTTCCTTTCCCCTCTCTTCCTCATCATGGTCACCTCGGCCTGCCCAGTAAAGGAGCAGCTGGGACTGAATCACCATCCCCTCATCCTAAGGCCTCTAATCAGAGAAGAGGCAAAATATTGCCTTTTAGCTGCCCTCTCCTGTCCAGAAGAGCAACTTTTCACTAACCAGGTGTCCACATCTCACCATCACCACCTACTTCCCCTGTAGCAAAGTAGAGCAAGCCAATATTTGCTGACATTTGGAATGTCATTGAATGCTCATGTACTCTTACTGTACTTTCAGGTTAGAGAGGTGAACTTGAGGCCCTGCTCCTATCTCCCTCCTGGAGATCAGAGTGCTCACAGAGCAGGCAGGAAATGTACACACACACAGAGACACTTTATACTCATGTGGATGAATACACCCAGGTGCGCATACCCAAAAATATACATATGTCTATCCATACATCATACATATATAAACACATATTTAGTCACCTGTGGAAAAAATGGAAATATACACAGACACAAATGTAAAGATACATGCACATGTATTACCATACACATCTTTATCAATAAACAGATATTCTTGAAACCCTTCTTGTTCTAGGTACTATGCTAGGCCCTAGAGACCTAACAGAAAAAAATAGGTAATAAATAATTTCAAATATGCTATAATAGGGCCTCCCCTGGTGGCACAGCAGTTGAGCGCTGGGCTGCGAAGCTGCCCGCAGCCTCTGCAGCGCCGGTTTGATCCCCGGTCTCCAGAGAGGGTCCCACATGGCGCGACAGACCTCTCCTTCCGCGCCCGCTGCTCCCCTCAGCAGTGTATTTCATCGTCTGCCTGTTCTGCTCCCCACTCTAGCTCTGGTGAATTCTCTCACCCTCCCGCACTTCTGACTGTGCCCAATACTTGTATAAATAAATAAATAAAATCTTTTAAAAAAATGCTATAATACTAACAAGTCCAGGGTCTTAGGATCATAGACTATAGATTATTAAATGATGCCATTGGCTTTGCTAAATGCAACAGATACCTTCCTGAAAATCACCCTGCTATGGGAAGCTGTGCAGTGAAAATGGGGTTAGGAGCACAATACTCAGGAGCTTTATCAGTGACACATAAAATAGATAGGAATCTACTAAAAATGGTAGCATAATTTTACACATGTTGGGAAATACCACAATAAATATGGCACTTTGTCTTCCACAAGTTTCCTTGTGGAAATGGGCGTGATAAGAGTTGCTGCTTGTGAGTTGTTGTGAAGTGGTGGAAGGAGCATTTATTTCCTCTAGAATAAAGGTGTGCTAACTGTGCCTCTGAGAAATTAGCTTCCTGTGATGTGATTAGGAGTGTGACCTCCTAATGGAAAGTTGTAACCAGATGGATGTGGCTTATAACACAAGTGATGATCTGGGTTGCTGTGTGCATTGAAGGTGTGTGCATTTTATATATCCTTAAATAGTTCTGTTCAGCTGGGTGTAGTTTTTTGTGTTTATCATTCGTATTGCTTATGGACAAAATCGCACATAACCTATACACAAATTACATCAGATCAAATTATTTTCTGATGTATCAATTGCATTGGAACAGATCTGTTCAAAACAAATGTTACAGCAAAATTGACTCTACAATCAACAGGAAATGGTGATTGATCCACGATGAGGGTTGAGGATGAAGAAGGAGACCATGATCACTCCAGAGCTTATGATTTGAGCAACCACATGAATTGGAATGAATTTATTGAAATAATGTAAGGAGGAAAAGTTTGGGGATCCAAAGAGAGGATGAATTCAGTGTGGGACATGTTGAGTGTAAATGCTTTTGAGACATTCTTGTGAAGCTATTGACTAGGTAGTTGAATATATAGGTCTGGGGCTCAGAGAGTTGAATATATAGGTCTGGATAAGAGATGCAGATTTGGAGAATTACTGGTGTGCAAATGAAATTGAGGCCACAGGGGTGGGGTGCACAGAGTGAGAAGAAAAAAGAACATCAAACAGAACACGGAGAAATACCAACATTTTGGTAGCTATAGGAGGAAGAGTCAGAAACAGTGAAGATGGAGTGGTCACTAATAGTAATGATAATAGTTCTTAGTTATTGATTGCATTTTGTGTGCTCATCCTATGTTGTCCAATACAGTTGCCCCTAACCACCCGTGGCAATGGATTACTTGAAATGTAGCTGATTTAATTGAGGAATTTTACATTTACTTAATTCTAATTTCAATGTAAATAAAAAACTTATAGAACTTTTATGTATATTTAGAACCACTTGGGTTGGTGAAGCTACATTTTCAACTGTTAATTGTCTAAAATCTAAATACAGATCAGGTATTTCTGATGAATATTTAATATCTAAATTGAGATGTGTAACTGAGAACTACTTACACACTTAGTATGAAAAAACACAAAACACTTCATTAATTTTTATATTGATTACATGTAGAAATGACAATCTTTGGATCTAGTAAGTTAAATATATATATTACTAAAGTTAGTTTCTTTTTACTTGAACTGAGCACTCAATTCATAACTATTGATGTGACTCCATTAAATTTGGACAGTGCTGTGCTAGCCACAGTGCTCATGTGCCTATACTAAGTTGATCTTTATGACAACTCCGTATAGTAGTTACTGTTATTTTTCACAATTTAAGGTTAGAAAAGTGAGGCACAGAGTGATGATGAAGCTTGCTCGGTGTCTTACATTGGTAAGTGGCAGAGATTCAATCTAGTTTTGCCTGACTATTGGTGCTAAAAGCAGTAACCAGAGTAAAAAAGAGAGAATGAAAGAGTGGTAGAAGAGGTAGAGTGTGGTGTTACAGAAGCCAAGGAAGGAAAGTGTTTTCAGGAGAGGAGAGAGCCACATGATCAGCCACTGAATTAGAGTGCTAGACCTCAGTAACTTTGGCAAAAACTTTTGGTGGCATTATGGGGACAGGAGCCAAATTAAATGAACTGGGAAGTAAATGAAAATGGAGGAGATAGAGAAATTTTAACTTTTTCAGAAATGTGGCATTGAAGTAGAGACAAGGGACAAGAGCTGAGGTGGGCAAGTGTGCAATTGAGCAGGTTTTGTTTGGAAGACAGGTGTGCTTCTTTGTAGGCACCAGTAGGGAAGGAAAGGTTGAAAATATGGGAGTGAGGGAGGTCTCTGAGCTCGTGAGAGAAGGGATGGAAAACCCCGGTTCTTGAAATCTGCTCTCTTCAGGAGGAAGTTCTGCTCTCCCGCTGTGACAGGGAAAGACAAGAAGATGGGTGCAGTTAGGTGCAGGCAGCACCTGCGGACTTGGTGATGGCAAGTGGAAGTAGTTCCTGATGACTTTTATTTGTCTCTCTGAAATAGGAGGTGAGTCATTTACTGATAACTAAAGGAGGGAAGGGTTGAGCAGGTTAGCAGAAAGTAGAACTGGATTGCTGCAGTTTGAGTAAAGAGCAGAGTGAGCCAACTTGAGAAGAATAGTAGGACTCCTAGGCAAGTTGAGGATGATGACATTAATTCTCATTGCAGCCACAGTTCAGCTGTAGACTTTTCTCTAGCAGAGCACAGCTCCTGACTATGCCAAAGCATGCTGAAGGCAGACATTTGTATTTTTCTAAGGTAGAGATTGTTCAAAAAGTGTGAAGTTACTGTGAAGATAGTGGTTGCCAAGATTGACAACAGGACTAAGCTAGATAATTGAGAGAAGACAATAGAGGAGCTGATGGATATAGAAAAAGTGGACGGGTCCCAATAAGATGAACAGGTGTGGTGGGTCTAGTTGAACATGCCAGATGGAAGGATAAGAGACGATGGTTAAGGACAAGTGTATCTGAATTAGTGATTGCAATGGTAGGGCAGTGCTGGGTATTAGCATATTTCCAGGTGTGCCCATTGGAGTGGGCCAGGTTAGGTGGAGGAGAATATTACTGTAAATAAGTTATGATGAAATGGATAGGTCAGATGAGCCCCCAGCGAGGTTTTCTGTAGAGACACATATTCACACACAACACATTTATACGTGCTATACATGCATGGCACATAGGTACAAATGTATGTACACATGCATGCCTATATATAATGTACGGTTCATGTATGTTCAGATCAAACCATGCATGTGTGTGCATTTATACTCACAAGTTTGATGCCCATGCCTGTCTGGATGGGCTTTAGGGAAACAGACAGGCAGCTTTAGGAGGATTGAGAGTCAGTCCGGCAGACAGGTTGAGCCATCATACTCAGAAGTTGTAGGAATGAGGGTCACCGAGAATTGAACAGATGTGCCAAGGTGTGAAGTTGCTGCACTGCTCTCCTCTGCCATCTGTGCTGTATCCCCGGCTGCAATTTCTGGGTGCTCTGAAAGGGTGGGGACCAGCTGTTAAGCCAGGAGGAAGGAGGAAGAGACCTTTTTTGGGTCCCTCCAAGAAGCATTTCTGTCTTCCCCCTCCCCAGAGAAAGGACAGCAGGAGAAACTGCTGAAGGGAGGGCTGGTGTCTACGATTGAGTACGACTTTTCCTGACCTTGGAGCATTCAGAGTCCCAATCAGCGCAGTAATAAATTAAGGGCTTATGGAGGAATAAATTCTCGGCCTTAATGAAGTTCTTTGCTGGGGGCCATAGGCAGGTCAGCGGGTCGGGATGATGCAGATTGGAGGCCCCAGCATGTAGGCTGAGCAAGCTGGGAGGCATCAGGAGGGAAAGGATCTGAAACTACTGGTTGGGTCACTTTTGTGGAGGTGTGGAGACAAAACTGCTCAAAGGATGATGGGCTGCCTGGGGGCAGGGATTCTATAGTAGGGTGGCTGCCTGTTGCTGGCTGTGGGACCCCTGGACTGCGGCTGTTCAGATGCTAATTTGGAAAAAAAAAAAAAAAAGAATGAAAACTAAGAGAGGTGTAAAGAGCTAGGAGTCCTGCAAACTGTTTTGTTTTATTTTGGAGGAGGGAGGGCTTATACCAAGACTCTGTAGTCAGAACCAATCTGGAGCTGCGGCCCAGGTGTTTTTGGTGTTTGTGAGGTGTTGTCAGGGGACAGTGGGCAATTATGGGCTGGTATCCTGGTGGGAGCCCCCTCTACAGCCAGGTAGACCAGGGCCTCTGGCTGCCTTTGGGAAGAAACACGTGCACAAAGGACAGGACACAGGTTACAAATGAGGGAGAGATGAGCACAGCACCAGGAGAACAGGTGGAAGAGCAGCCCAGAGCCTCCTGCGGAATGTGATGCTGAAGCCCATGGGGGAGCTGGTCTTGGGGACTGGGGTACTGAATCATAGAGCTGAAACTAGAACCCAGGCCTCAAGACTCCTCATCCTGAGCTGTTTCCTCTTATATCCCACCCTCCGCAGTGTCAGCTCTTGGGAGATAATCCAGAGGCTGTGGAGGGAATACTGCTGTATTTGGAGTCGGGGCCAGCTGGAGCTGGAATGTCTTCTTTCTTCTCATCTCCCTGCCCCCATGGTTTAGTGCCCTGCCTGGGCTTTTCCTTTAAATATGTCTTACAGCTGTCTGAACTCTGAAATTTCTTTCACTCCTTCCCTCGCCTTGTTAACATGTGTTGCCTTTGGGGTAATCAGGGAAAAAATATTATGTCCTTTTACAATTACCGGGTTTTGGAATATTAAAATGTCTCGCTGCATCGGCACTGTTATTTTGATTGGTATTCTAACCTTTGACTAGCCCATAAAGCGCGCCGCTCCTGAAGCCAATATTGCAGGACTGAAATTTAATTCCGAAATGATTCCAGATAATAGGGAGACAGATAATATATGCATGAAGGATATTATGTTTGGACTAACTGCAGCAGGGCCAGGGCTGGGGAGCTGAATAATAGCCCAGAGTGAGTTATAATCTGTGGGACAGAAATGCCTTACTGTCAGGGCCAGAAGAGGAACTCTTAAATCAAAGGCATAGGAAAGGGTGTGATTGCAGTGTGCTTGTTTTGACAGGAAGAGCACTGGAGCCAAGAGGGTAGGTATTGAAGACTGTGACCCATTGGCTTATCCTTTCTCTTGAGCAAGATCCACGAGACCCTGGATGATCTCACTCTTTGCAGCATCCCTATCTTCATATCTTCTGTTTCTCTAACATTCTAGCCATCTCAGGCTTCTTGCTGCTCTTCAAATATACAGGACTGTTTTACCTTCTGTTCCCTTTGCTCATATTTTCTTTCCCCTTTTAGTGTGTTGGGAAAACTCCTACTCATCCTTCAAAACCCTCTTTTACAACACCTCCTCTAATGTTTCTCCACCTCTGGTATAAATAGTCTCCACCTCCTTTGTACAGCTTTAGTACTTTCTTTGAATATATCACATGCTCTTATAATTATCTGCTTACATGTTCTGTTTCCCACAAGGCTGTGAGTTCCCTGAGATCTGCATGCCATCCATTTATGTATTTCCAGTGCTCAGCCCTGATCCTGGCACACACTAGGTAAAAACCAGCATAAACTGAACCCATGCTGGATATCAAGCTGGACGGAGTTCTGGGGTCCAGATGCTTATTCCCCTCCAACATTTCCCAGACAAATAGAGAAGTTAAGTGACAGGCCTTAGGGCACATAGCCACATGGGTTAAAGCTAGGATTTGAACGCAGGTAGGTATTTTTTTTAACCCAGACAATATGTGCAGGTAGCCAGGAAGGAGTTGGAGGCCAGGGTAGGGAAAGACAGAGACTCAATTCCCTTCAATAGCCAGGGCTTGAATCTTTGCTAGAGATTGCACTGGCTCCTAACATTCATGGGACTTAAGTCCTAGAAGGGATGGTGCCTCCTGTTGCTGCTAATCACCTTTGACAGTTTTTCACACAGAAGACACTTACCTATTTGAGTTTGTAATTATGGATCAGGAAAGTACCCCAAGAAAGGTACTCAGGTGTGATACTGGAGAACTCTTGGAGACATACACAGGCAGAGCACATGGAGCTCTTGGTGATGTCAGAAAACTTCACAGACATTACCTTCTCCCTTGAACACTTGGTGGAACTTGGATTTTGGTTCTTTAGTGATTAAAAAAAATGCATAATGCAAAAACTACAGTGAATTTGGTGACTTTTACAAGGATTTATATTTTGTTGATTACAGTAGCATCTGCATAAACCGGGACAAACTAGCATAATAATATGTGAGACTCACCCTTCACTTAGTCTTCAGGTGATGCTTGGGGTGTGCACTGTCCCCCTGGGAAGTGGCTCATAGTGGTCAGCCTCTGCTCCTCCCCTGTCTTCTCACTGACCACCGGAGGAGAGATGACTAAGCTTCAAGGAAGAGAGGGAGGGAACTTTAAGCCTTTGTGAGCAAGAGCTAGGAAAAAGAGACTTCCCCAGCAGAATTCAAGTGAGCTCCAGAGGAGAAGAACCTAATGCTGTTCACCCTCATCTCACAGTGAAGAATAGGGTCGAAGAACAGGGCTGTCCTTGATTCCAGCTGCCATCATCATGCCTGGCTGGCCAGTGCAGTACAGTCACACTCGCTTTCAGATGGTTTCGGGCTCTGACACCTGTCTTAAGACCTTGGATGAGTTACCTTCTCAGAACCTTAATTTTCTCACTTAAACAACAGAGATTAATAACAATACTACTATAAAAAAATGCTTTCTATGAATTGACTCACCTAATCCTCAAGCAATTCTATAAGTACTATTATTAGCCATCTTACAGATGAGGAAACAAGTACAGAGAGATTAAGAACCTACTACAGGATTCCATGCCTCCAGCACAAAGGTGGAAGGAGTTTTTTCTCCTTGGGGCCAGAGAGAAAGTCCACAGAGGTTTCATGAGGAGACACTTAAAGTTGGTCCATGAAAGATGAGTAAGTTTTCAGGAGATGGTGGAAAGAGCCCTGTAGGCAGAGGGAGCAGTGTGAGCAACAGCCCGTGAGAGGAGAAGCAGCTGCTGGACTAGGGAACTACAAACATCAGTTTCTGACTACTGATGCCATGTGTAAGCTTGTGGGGAAAGCAGAGGAAATGCGAGCAAGCACGCACAATAAGAAAACCTTGCCCAGTGTCTCAAGTAGAGCTACCATAAGCTGCCTTCTAAGAATGGGCCTGTAGCTCCAGAAAACTTCCATGCTCTGTCCATTGAAGAAAGAAAGAGCCTGTAGGCCAGGGAGGGAAAGAGGCCGCCCTGCCTTGTAGCATTTTTGTCTGTGGACCATCTTAAGGCCGCTATGCCGGAAGACCCCGGGATCCTGATGGTAACAGGGAAATTGCAACATGAGGAATCACTTAAGTGGTCATGTTTGTAAAGTTCTGAGGAGTGCAATACCCCGTGTGTGGATAGGCAGCCCAGCACACCCTTAGCCTGGAAGCTCTTTGGCCTTATTCTGCTTCCCTGGTGAGTGAGTGGGGAAGGAACAGACCAGCAAACCAGCTCTAGACAGCTAGAATTCTTTCTTGGTGAGGTTCCTGCAGCTGCTACATATCTATCTCTACTCTGTGATAGCCTCTGCGATGGGTCTTTACAGAAGGCCTGCCCTGGTGTGTGTGCCTTTCCACGGCAGCTGCTCAGTCTCTCCAGGCAAGTGGTGCCACTGCTTCATCCTGGTCCCATGACAAACCCCTTCTGTCTTTCCTTTGTGTCTTTGGGGAAGAGAAATCTGAGCTTGTACTAGCACACAGGAGAGTGGGGAGCTGTCCTGGGTCTGTTTGAAGCTAGGATTTAACCTTAAACATCCTGACCCTAGCCCCTACGCCTAGAGTAGGTTATTGTGTATGACCTGGTCTGTCTCTGCAGGAGCATGAGCCAGTTGAGGAAAGGGACTAGATCTGCTGCTTCTCTCAATTCACAGATTTGGGCAAGCAGGGGGATCTCAAGATACTGATAGAGGCATAGATACTGTGGGAGGGCTGGGAACAGTTTGGGAGAGAGATGGACTCATCACTGCTCAGTGTTTAATCTGAGAACACTAAGGAAACTCTAACTCTGCCTTCTCCCAGCTTTGTTTTTCTGTTTTTCTTGTTGCTATACTCTGGGCCTTGGAAACTGGAGGGAATTGCAGAAAAGGTGAGGAAAGGACAGGGAGAGGCCCTGAAGCAGAGAGACCCAGACCTACCTCCCTTCTCCCACTTCATCCTGCAGCCCACTCTGGAAGACAAGACCCCGTCTGTTCCTATCAACAGCAGACCACCAACGCACTGAGTCCCAGTGGGTGCCAGTCTCATTGCTGGGTGCTTGACACACATTATTATATTTCATCCCCACAGCTACTCAGCAAGAAAAGAGTTTTGTCCTTATTTTATGGATGCTGAAATAAAAACTCAGAGAAATTAAGAAGTTTTTCCAGGATCACATGACCAGGAGGTAAATCCAGGTTCTTTCCTTTCATAGCTTCCTTCTTGTCACATGTGCCATAGTAAGTACTACCTGAAGGCAATTCCTCTGGTCTGGACTGGTTTGAACTGAACACCTAAGCAAACACATCAACTTTTCCTAGTTGTATAGTCAATGAGAGTCAGTGACCGGGGAAGGACAGGGATTGCCCTCATCCTCTAGGCCCCTTAGGAATGACAGCTGTTCAGTAAGGATCTGACTGTGTGTAAGAGGAGACACCCATGTGTATGTGCATCCGTATATATGTCTCCTACATGGGGAGGTTGGAATCTGCATGTACTCAGGTGTGTGCATGTGCCCACCTGTGGGACTGTGGGTGAGGATACAGGTATGGAATCTGTGGTCCGATGGATCCCTCCAAGGATCCGTGGGCAGAGGTGGGTAGCTGAGGCCTTTCTCTCTCAAGGACAGCACAGTACAGTAGAAAGACCCCTACAATGACCTTCAAGCTAGAAGAAAAAGGCATGAGTGCTGGTGTTGGGTCGCTTTTCCTTTCTGAGGCATCAGTTTCCTCATCTAACAAGGGAACTGGAGGAAGTGGTCTCGTCTACTTTGTCGTTCTGAGATCATCCATGGAATCTTAGAGGTTTCCTCTTTTTTGCTCTCAGCAAAAAATGACACAGATGCAAGGAAGGCGAGAGAAATCTGTGTTTTACCCTATTTACTTTGATCTCTAGCCTTGGAACCATTCTTCTATCCCATTGAGAAAAGGTGAGGGTACAGGAAAGGCAGAACTTTGCCTGACATCCTTTCAGGAGAGCTGTGGGCTCAAGTGTTAAAGAGTACCTTTAAGTTAAAGTTTGGATAGCTGGCCTCTGTTACAATATGGGATTGCCTAGGCTGGAGCTGAGGTTTCAGGCTTCTCCGTGAGAATATGGGGTGAGGAGAAGCTTGTCTCCTTGCTTCTTTGGGATAGATACATCACTCGCCAAAGAAGCAAAGGAAGGTGATATCTCAATACCTAAAGGCAGGGTACAGCCCAGGCCCTTCCTCTGGCCTTTGATCCCCTTAGTTGGTTCTCAGGGCAGACACACAGCTGTGACCAGGTAGAGACCAGACAAAGTAGCTGGACATGTGTTCACATTCAGCTGGGACGTTAGCTGTCTCAAGAGTCTGTGAGCTCACTTTGACCTGCTATCAGCTCTTCTGGGGGAGGAATGGTTTAGGATTGAGAGTTTTTATTTTCTCTGGCTCAGAAGTGATCTGGGTGACTCCTAGAGATAGGGGGCCTTTAACTAGTTCAGCCTTTAAGTGGGGTTGTGGCAAGATTTTGTCTGCTTTTTCCCATTAATTAGCATTCAGTCCCCTGTCATTTTTGAATTTGACTGACTGGGTGTCTGGAAAAGGAACAGGCATTGTGTAGACTCACACTGCAGTATACCCTCAGCACTCGGGGGACTTCTCTCTGTGGGTCTGGCTTAGCCCGCATTACACCCAGCCCTCAGGTAGCAAGTCACCATGCTCTGCCTCGACCGAGACATCTATATTCACATCCAGTTGCTGCCGAAGCCCTGTGTTTTGGGACATTTAGTCTCAGAGATGAATCAGGTCTGCTCCCCACCTGTGCAGAGCTCAGGTCTAGCAGGGAAGATGGTGGGTCAAGGCAGCTGGAGAAGAACACAATGATAGGCGTGTGTGTACAGTGTGTATAGATGTGAATCATCTGCGTTTTTGAAAAGTACTTTATTTTGAATTCAGCTGTGTACTGGCTTGGAATTTATGAGACAAAGAATCCACTAGGCTTGTCTATACTCTTGTGTGTCCCCTGACTATCCAGATGAGCAGGGCCCTGCTGCAGCCAAGGGCCTGCAAGTAGGGCCCTCTAGAGACACCAGGCTGCCCTCTTTGGAAGAGGTGGCCCTCCTGGGGTGATGAGATTGGGCTGGACGCAGGAAGTGCTTGTGTGTACGGACAGATGTGCTTGTGAGTAAGCACAGGCAAGAGCCCAAGTGTGCATATGGCAGCAGCCAGTGATCTGTCCTTAGCACCACAACCAGGTCTTATGGTGCTAGTGCTGGGCCTGGCACCTACTAGGCTGCAAGCAGTAGGGCAGGCTGCAGGCAGATCCCAGGACAGCCCTGAGGCCTCCCTAGTGGTGTGTTTGCTGTGCCTAATTACCCGGCAGTTGTTTAACTATGCAAGCTGCATGCCTGCCTTTATTGCGCTGTGATTGCCGAGCTGCCTATGGGGAGTGTCATAAAAAGATATAAAATGCCCATTATCTGTCTGACGCCCTCCTCCTGGACTGTGGGTGTTTGTGTTTTATTTTATTTTTATGGCTCGAGGGAAGCTCTGCAGGAAGGAGAGGGAGGGAAGAAGGGAGAGGGAGGGGAGGAGAGGCCCTACAGGAGTTGGGGGCTGGGAGGCTGAGGAGCCCCCTTCGTACTGTGGTCAGCCACCTGAGTTGACAGTAATCCCCACCAGATGTAGAAATGGCACAACTCTGGGGTGAGGACAAGGTGCTCAGGAAATAGGATCTTCTCCCCACTCCTCCCACTTTCGAGCCCCGCAGCTTGTTTCCAGCCTACCTATGCTAGCCTCCTCCCAGCAAGCAGGTCCACTGCCTTGGACAGTCTACTCTTAATACCCAGTTCTTTAATGGCTTTGATGACTTAGTTGCCTGCTGTCCTCCCAGAGCACCATGGCTTGCAGTGGGGCAAATACAGGGCCACCACTCCCTACCTGCTCTGCAAGCCATTCACCCCTGCAGCTTCAGCTTCCCTTTTCTTGCCAATCAGCAACAAGTTCAGGCCACACCAATCCAAGATTCTCTGGGTCTTAGGGAAGCCTCCCAGATCAGGAGAAGGAAGGGAATTAATAAAATTTGAACATCTTCCTGGTACCAAACAGAACCGGTGTTAGGTACTGAGTCCAGAGATCAGAGATCAAACAGGGACCCCACCCCTGAAGAGCTCCACTGTGTAACCAGAGTGCTAGCTTCACAATAGGTATTTAATAAATGTTGTCAAATGGAATTGAATTCCACATAGTCATTCTTTCATTCAGTAAATGGCTGCTGAGTACCTACTGGGTTAGGCACTCTGCCAAGCACGGGGGATAAAATAGCAAGTAAAATAGATAAAATCCCTCACTCGACATTGGAGTTTATTGGGAAAAGGATTTAAACCCTGGATATCTGACTCAAAAAAACCACGTCCTTCCAACTATGACATGGTGTTTCCCTTCCTGAGCCACCAAACCCCAGGCTGTCCTGTGCTAAGCATCTCACGTGCTCCTCTGCTTGGAAATCCTCATGTCTACCCAGCAAGGTACACGCACTCTAGCCTGTCCTTTGAGAATCCCAAAGTCCCTTCCAACTAGAAAGTCGCTTCATTATAAGGTTGGTCAGAAAAAAGAAATTCCAGCTGATGTCGAACAAAATGACATTACTCATTTTGACCTGGTTTTGTTAGCTCTCATGTCACTTCAACTCAGTGTCCAAGGATCCATTTAAGATGTTAGTGAGAACTTGCTGGGCACCAGGATAAGCTGGTGGTGCATTTCCAGACGTCACATTTGTTGCCTTCCTCTGGAACGCCCTCAGCTGTATTCCTGCCTGGTGAATGCCTGCTGACCATTCAAGATCTAATGCCTGTATGTCTTCTGTGAGGACTTTTCCAGCTTCCCACTGTGAACTTTGACCCTCTTCTGACACCCACAGTGAGTGCTGGAGCGCCAAGGCACTGTTAGAGCCTACCTTGATTTTGTTCATTGTTGCTGAGCCTGCTGTGGGATCTTGCACCTCTTCCATCATAGTGGGTTTTTTGTTTGTTTGTTTGTTTGTTTTTGTTTTTTGAGAGAAGTTATATTGAGATATAATTAATATATCTTATTTACCCACTTAAAGTATACAATTCGGTGCTTTTTTAGTATATTCACAGGGTTGTACAACCATCATCACCATCTAAGTTTAGAACATTTTTGTCCCCCCAAAAAGAAACTCTATTAGCAGTCATTTCCCATTTTTCCCCAAATGCCCCAGCCCTAAGCAGCCACTAATCTACTTTCTGTCTCTATAAATTTGCCTGTTCTTATGATTCTGGGAATTTCTACGTGTGGCTTTTTATGGCTGGCTTCTTTCACTTAGTGTCATTTTCAAGGCTCCTCCATGTTGTACCATGAATCAGTACTTCAATTCTTTTTATTCCTGAATAATATTCCATTGTACTGATCTGCCACATTTCATTTACCTGCTAATCAGTTGGTGGACATTTGGGTCATTTCTACTTTTGTGCTGTGACAAATGCCACCAGTGTTCAAATGTGAACATTCGTGTACAAGTTCACATTACTGGTTTTACTTTTTTTTTTTAAACTTGTCTGTATTTCCTAGTAGATTGTAAGCTCTTAAGAATAAGGGTCATTTCTGTGTTGTTCGCTGCTGTACCCTCACTCGCTCAGTAAATGTCAGTGAATGAATACATGCATACTTTCTAATTCTCATTCCCCCTTGGGATAGAATAGTAAATTGTTAGGATCTGTTTTAATATCATAACCCACTCTTCCCTGGGTATAACTGTATACACATATCTGCCACCCATGCTGAGGTATAAGTTCGTTCATCAGTGTCCTGCACCATGTCCTTTTCATTCCATTGTTGGCACCTCTGGTGTAAGCCTGCCTAGCAGCAGCTGATGTGAGAACCCTCCCTGAGTTGCCCCCATAATGGCACGCATGGCCTCTGGCTAACTCGACATGAGGACAGACTGAGTACACCTTTCCCTCTTTTCTTGAGGGACTTTGGATTGTCTACATGTGGACAGCTAACTCTGTGGGAGGACCATGATAGACTATTGGGCTAGGTGACCTCACAGCTCTAAACCAGGCTGGCTTTGTGGCAATGCCACCGGCCTGGGCATGTGAGGA